GATGAGCTTATATCTTTAAAAATGTCAATCGTTAAAAAATTAAAGTGCAATTTAACAAAAGTCATTATTTAATAAAGCAAAATTTTACTTATTGATAGTTCTCAAGTCTAATGGTTCGCAAGGTAGCTAGTTTATTATTGATTGTAATAAAAATAATTGTTTTATTTTAGGCCTTTATGATGACGTTAATCCATCACGCCCGAGTATTGTGACGAAAAACAGACTCAGGCCAGATAACCTCGCGTTCTCCACATTGCCTCGGGTCGATCGATCAGTGATAGCACCACGCAGATGTTGCTCGGTGGATCCTTCGGTGGTCGCCAGCGAGCCAAGTCCATATCTCGAAGTCTCACGACCTAGAAGAGCTTTTCCCACCGCTGGTTCTTCAATACGCCGTCCTCGCAGCAATCTCAGCACTATTTGTAAGTTGATGATCATTCTCTGCTGGCTACAATAGAATATAACATAATGTATAATGATATTACGGTACATTAAATATAATTATCTCACCTGATGCGTAGATATCACGTAATACAACACTAATTTACGTTTTACGCTCTTGTGTAATATAATTTCAGCTCGAACGGCCAGAAAAGAAGCACCATCACCGCGTATCATGTCCCCGATGGGTTTCGCCGTTCATCGTCAAACTTACGCCGATGATATTGAGTATGACGAGTACTATATGCCCGCGGAAGACCAAACAACCAAGCCCGTGCCTATTTGGCTCTGTGTGTTCTTGGTCGTTAGTTACATATTAGGCGGTGCTGTTTTATTTAACGAGTGGGAAAGTTGGATCTTCCTTGACTCTGCATATTTCTGTTTTATAACTCTAACCACTATAGGCAAGTACATCGGCACTTTAATGAGTGTCTATTTTTATTTATTCATTAACTCCTTTTAGCTTAGTTTAATTAGCTTTACTCTATATTTTTTTTTTTTTTTTTTTTGAATAATAATTCGTGCAGTAAAGTAATTATATATTTACATTCCAGGCTTTGGTGATTTCGTACCAGCTCACAGACTTCATGCACACCAAGGAATAGCGCTGTGCTCGCTCTACCTCCTCTTCGGTATCGCCCTACTTGCAATGAGTTTTAATTTGGTTCAGGAAGAAGTAATAACAAATGTTAAGAGCGTCGCCAAGCGACTGGGAATCATTAAGGAGGATGAAGATGATGATGAAGATGCTATCGATGACGACTTTGAGGTCATTAACGACGAATATGACGACGGAAACGCCTCCGAGTATGTTGATTATCATCCCAGTAATCATCGCGATTACAATTACAGTCACCATGATCTCGAAATGTCCTAGAATAATAATACTTAAGTTAGCCGACATTTTTAGTTTTTTTTTTTTCAATAATTAAATTAGAACAAAAAAATATTAAAAAAAAAAATTATGCACTTTTAGTTTTTTACAAATAAAATTTTTTTGTGATAATTTTTTCAATGAAAAAAAATTCTTAAAATTTTCAGATGTCGGCTAACTTAATTTTCATCCTAGAGTAATATATTTTATTATTTATATATTTATATTAACTTAAAATTTATAATAATAAATTAATATTAAAATTGCTCTGAAAAAAAAAAATATGTTAAAATTTCTAAATGTCAATTTATTTTTTAAAAAATTAAAATATCTTGTACTTTAATTTTAATTTTAAAAATCTGTCATGAAAACGGTGTCGACGTCAACGACGATGAAGATGCTGAAGAAATAGAGGAAGGTGATTTCTCATATGACAAAAACTCCGGTATCTTTTTCTTCCCTCTTTTCTTGTCTGGTCGCGTAATTCGCGTTCATCGCCGCCGCCGCCACCGCAAAACAGTACAGCTTGCTTGGAACTCAACTCTATAATTTTAGAATTGTGCTATTTCGAGCTAGTGTGCCGCGTCGTCGTCAGACCACGAGAGACAGACTCATACCATCCGAGTAGTATACATCCGAAAGGCTCCAGCTCAAAAGACACTCCCCTCCTACTCAATTCAAAGGCTCTTTCGAACTAAAGTGTATCTATATCGCCTCACATTATTTCTTCTATTCGGCTTTTTCAATTTATTTCTTTTTGTTCTTTTTAGATCAACTCCATCTATCTATTTATCAATATCAATAAAATATACATTTGGCTCACTTTCTTCCACATACTTACTCATTATAAATTTGTTTTTGATCAGTAAGGACATCAAAATTACATATGTATTTTTTTTTTGATAAATCAACCGTGCGACGAGTTTTTTAAGCAAGTTTAAATTGAGGCCGTCCTCGATACAACGTTTACAATGTATAAGTGTGTTATTGCGGGTGATTTTAATATTCTTCACGTGTCAATTTATTTTTATTTGTTTTAAATTCATTTTTTCCATCAAAATTAATTAACTGAACAGTGTATTTTTAGAAAATTTAATTTAAAAAATGACATCTGATGATTTTTAGAAAGTTTTTAACTAATAAATTATCGCAAAAAAAATTATTTTAAAAATTCCATCTTTAAAAACTTTAAAAAATTACAAGTGCAATTTTTTATAAATAATTTTTTACAATTAGTTTATTTTAAAACATTTAATTTAACAGTCAGCTGACCTTTTTTTTAATTTTATTAAAAAAAAAATTATTTAAAAATAAAAAAAAATTGTTAAGTGTCTGGCAATTTCAATGTCATTATCATTAATTTAATGGTTATTGTGCAATGGCATCTACGGGTGCGGGTGGCTGCCGGTGATAATAGTATAACGAGAATTAGATAATGATGGACGAGGAGACAAAGTGGTCAACAAACGCTCCAATTCCTGGTGGAGATCGGGGCCGAGGACTGACACCAAATGCCAGCTGGAGCAGCCAGCGGAATTCCTCGGTCCGTAGGCAACAGCGCAGCTCATCCAGATCCAGGCGGAGCGAGTTAAGGGAGAGCGTGATCAGGCGAAAAAGAAAAAGACACAAACCTCTGGGTGAAAAAATCGGCGATTGGTTTCGTGCATTTTTAGCTTTTTTATTTAGCAACGTAGGTATTGTGTGTCTGGTGGTTGGTTACACCATCGCCGGGGCATTTATATTCGAAGCAATCGAGGGCTCACACAATCGTAAAATTGGAAATGGCTATGACGTACCCAGTTCACGGAATCAAACCGCGCTTCATCTGTGGAAATTGACGACCAAGGTAAATATTTTAATTATACACTAGACTTTCTCTTGATCATTTTATTTTAGTTATTTAAATTTTACTGCCGTCGTGTAGTTCAAATTAATTGAACTATAACCGGCATAATAAATAATAGACTTTTACTTATCATTATCATTATTATTATTATAATTTGGTTAATTGACCGTAGGAAAATATTTTCTCGGAGAAACTATGGAAGTCAAAGGTGGATACCATTCTAAAGAGCTATCAGGATATAGTCGTTGATGCGGTTAAAAATGAATGGGATGGTTCAGACTCGATGGAGAATCGAAAGTGGAGTTTTGCGGGCGCTTTCTTGTACTCCTTGACGGTCATTACGACAATTGGTAAGCGTGTAAATAGTTTAGGTTTATGATCATAAAAATTAGCAACCTTGCAGTCGCTATGACTGCCGTAATTTGTAAACTATAAATAAAATTTTGCTTTTTATTAAATAATGACTTTTGTTAAATTGCACTGTATTTTTTTAACTGTTGACATTTTTAAAGATATAAGCTCATCCCGATGATACACTCATCAAGAGCTTTCATTTAAGTAACCACATGCATTTTTGATATATTTTTCATATATACATATATATATATAATATATATAAATATATGAAATATTGATGTGGATACTCAAATGAAAAGTCTTGATGAGTGTAACATCGGGATGAGTTTATATCTTAAAAAATATCAATATTTCACAAGATATTTTTTAAATTGCACTGTAATTTTTTAAATAGTGATCTTTTTACAAGAGCTTTCATTTGAGTACCTACATGCATTTTGATATATTTTTCATATATATATATAAATATAATATATATAAATATAATATATATAAATATATGAAATATTGATGTGGATACTCAAATGAAAAGTCTTGATGAGTGTAACATCGGGATGAGTTTATATCTTAAAAAATATCAATATTTCACAAGATATTTTTTAAATTGCACTGTAATTTTTTAAATAGTGATCTTTTTAAAGATATAAGCTCATCCCGATGCTACACTCATCAAGACCTTTCATTTAAGTACCCACATGCATTTTTGATATATATTTTTCATATATACACATATATAAAATATATAAATATATGAAAAATTAATGTGGGTACTCAAATGAAAGGTCTTGATGAGTGTAACATCGGGATGAGCTTATATCTTTAAAAATGTCAATCGTTCACAAGATACAAGGTCATTTCTTAATTATGTATCTAGAGACAGAGCATTTCGAATGCATCCTAAATACTTATATAGCTTTTTCCGTAGAAACCGCATAACTTCTTACTCAATTATAAGAATCATTACACATGACCAAATATTCTGTTCAAGGTTACGGCAATACGTGTCCTCGAACCATGTGGGGCAAGGTGATTACAATTGGGTACGCGATCGCCGGAATGCCCCTATTTCTTCTTTACCTAAGTAACATCGGGGATATACTTGCTAAAAGTTTCAAGTGGTCTTACGCCCGTTGCTGTCTATGCAGGTCAGTATTATCTCATTAAATTATATAATTATTCTTCTGAACGTTGTGTTTGCTTTGTAAATTTTTCCAGATGTAGAAAGAGGCCACGCGAGTCTCGTGATCGCCGAGTAACTGGCTCAAAACGATCACTCGGTCAGTCTTATCGAAAGAACACCTGTCAGGTTGGTACAATACTTACACACAGGATTTACCAGCATAACACTTACGGTTCTTGTAGAGTTTTATCTTATCATTTATGCTATTGAGAAGCCATTATCATGTTACCTTTATATCACAGCAGATATAATATAATAGTCTGTACAGATGGTGAGAATGCAATCTGGACGTGATGGGGCGGCATTCGACACCGTTAGTATGGACAATGAGATTGAGACTGCTTCTAAAACAACGACAAGCGATCAATGTAATGACAACGACGACGAGGATGAAGAAGATGATGATGATGATGATGATGCCTCCAGTGAGGATGAAGATAACGATGAAGATGATAATGATGATGACAGCAGTGATCGTTATGATCCTAAGCGTATTACTGTTCCATTAACTCTTTGTCTGAGTATCATAGTCGGGTACGAGTTCTTCACTATCTTTACTATTATTAATATTATTTATTGCGATAATAAAATAAAAAGTTGTATAATAAATATTATCTTTGGTTTGATCAAGCAGATATATTTGCGGAGGAGCATTTCTTTTCTCCGAATGGGAAGATTGGAATTTTCTCGATGGTTCGTACTTTTGTTTTATCTCCCTTTCAACAATCGGTTTCGGTGACATAGTTCCAGGCGACAAAATTTATTCCTCTGACGGCGTGTTCGACCTTTCTTTTATCTTCTGCTCTATGTACCTCATGCTAGGTCAAGTATCATCAACCATCTATTTAATAATAATAATAATAATAATAATAATTATCATTAATACTATAATCTTTTATTAAACCAATCTCTAATGACAGTTAACATTACAGGTATGGCTTTAATAGCAATGTGCTTCAATCTAATGCAAGAGGAGGTAATAGCAAAAATACGATCGTTGACGCGATCAGTTAAGCATGTCCTTCGCTGTGATCGTTAGCTTTGTGAAAATGGATAAAAAAAAGTATTTTTAAAAATAAACTGGCTCATCTGACCTGATGACACACAATAAACCGGTGGGTATTATACTTGCTTTTTTGTACATTGTTACCATACCATATATATTTATATATATATGTATAAATTTAGATCAAAAGAACATCAGTTTGACTGAAAAAGACATTTGGACTTGGCGGTCCTCCAATACAATCAATGTCCTACTACTCAATATGTTGTTATGGAATATATATCTTTATCGATCAACATTTGCTGATATGTTACAAGCATATATACACACTGCCGGATAACATAGATCCTGAAAATCTGGCATCCGACGGCAGAGCCGAGGTAGTTGAAAGCCTCCAGCAGCAGTAACAGTACCAGTACCAGGAGCATCAGCAACGGTGGCTGTATGCTACCAGCAAGTCATCATTGAATTGAACGTCCTCCTCCGCCACCCTTGCGTGCTCTAGCAATTGTGTGTTCTCTCCTATCCCGAGAACTCTGGCAAACTTCCAATCTATTTGTACGACCTATCAAACTATATATCTATGCGCAGCCAACTCGTTATCGATGATTATATCGTGTGGTGTGTATACCTGTTTAACAAATAATTTAGCCTCTTTGCCAGTATGTCTATATATCTATAAACTATATCTGTATCTCTTTAGCTTAAACTGTCGACTGCTCTTGTTACTCGACTTGTCGGGTTATTTTGGTACCGTAAGCGTTTATGGATAACATTAAAACGGAGTATATAGTACTACTGTAGTGTATAATATTACACCTACGCAAGCTTAAAGGATTCTCTACTCTCTGATAGATCTTGTGGATACATCTTATGGTGCGCTCATGCGTCCTGGACCATGTACATTAAACCCAACTCTCTACTGTACTCACCATGTCCTATATATCGAAAAGTTACCCGGCAAAGTCGAGCCACCATCGTCCATCAGACCGTCGTCGATTCTGCGCGGATTTCTCTACTACATAACGAGTGAGACTCCCTCGCACCTTCAGCACACATTTCTCCGCGGTACTATCATGTAGTTCAGTGCGATGGTACTTGCAGTACGGCAAGGGCGTTTTCTCGTCGAGCTTCTATTTCTATCCTAAAATGGCCCTCTGCTAGTACAATTGTTATCTCCAAGATAATGTACCATCATCATCATCATCATCATCATCATCATCCTCCTCCTCCTCCTCCTCCTTCGACTAAGTTAGTTGTACGTTAACTGTTGTTGCTACGGGTTCAACAATCTTAAATATCTAAAGTTAACAGATAAAAAAAATAAATGAACATGTGCGTGTGTAATTATTGTAAATTATCGTTACTGTAAATTATTATTATTATTATTATTATAACTTCAGTTCATCTGTTGGCTATTATGACCGTTTAAAATTGTATTAAGGACTCTTAATAGTGCTAGACAATAATTGCGCATAGACAATTAAATGCGGTGAAATGCGGAATAAAGTAGTTGTACTACTCGTTCGCTGGACTTTGCGGCCTCATTCTTCAGCACATACAACAACACATTTATAACTCCATCTCAGGTCTTTTACTAATACTCTGTTTAAATAGTTTTATTATACCGTATTAGCAGTAGCAGTAGTTGTAAAAGTATTATATCTAGAATAATATTTATAAAAACATTATTTACAGTATTGATAATAAATGATTCATTATTGGCAATTGATTAAATACAATACAAAAATAATACTACGTTGAGTGAATCATTAAAAAAAAAATCAAACTATAAACTATAAATAATTTATAATCTCCACGCTTATTATTGTCGTTTAATAATTTATGATTGCTATGAAAATTGAACAGCCTATGATGAAACGTGATTGTTAATACACACGTATGAGCTATATTATATGAGCTATATACCGAGTAGCAGCCGCGATAATCTCAAGTGCTGCTAGCCTCAAGGTAGACACTGTATACAAAAGCACTCGTTCATTTTAGCTGGTGATAAAAACGGCTGATTAAGCGCCACTGTCTTGTCTGCCGGGAGTAAATAGTAAAAATACCCAACCATTTTATTTATTTATGATTTATTGTTATTTTATTCGGGCAATCAACCGTATTAAATTAATCTGTCCCCTTAACTGGATACTGTAATACTAAAAACAAAAAAATCCAAGTTTGTATTTGAATATGTAAATGTGAATGTATGTAGATGAGAAGAGACAGTGTACCCTAGTGTGTTGTCACACCTTGTCGAGTCTTCCGCCACCTTTTCCTAGTCCTCTCTTTCGCTCTTGTGCAAGCAGAGCTGGGCTATCGATTGCACACTAGCTGGTAGCTACTACTAGGGTTGTCGCTGCCACCACCAACTTTTCTAGTTCTCAGAGCTATTGCAAATTGATATGTCATGACTTTTTAGCTCCTATTCAATCTATAGCTTGCTGCATTTTATTCAATCATCTTTACTGCTGGCACAAAAAGCTTATTTATCATTTTTTTTTTTTTTTTTTAATTAGGCCACGTCTATAATAAAATACTATTTTTTATATTTTCAGCAATCGGATGATAACAATTTCCATATGGATAAAATTCGACTGAAGAAAATATCACAAGGATCCATCAAAATAGCTGATGAATATGCTGATGCCTTATTGTTGCTTGTACTAAAGAGATGGTGTTTGTACATGCCGAGATTATCATTAACAAAAGCAGCATCATCTTCTTATCATCAAATAATTCCATGTCATCTAACGGGTATTATCAGAATGACAATAACCAGGGAGATAATAAGAGCAACGTAGGACTACCTACTGGTATATTGTCCAGTTGTTACTGGTTAGAGTAATGATGCAAATAAGCGCGAGTGATTATTACCAAAGAGCGCCACGATCCTGCTCAGGTGGACGTCGTTCATCTCAGCTTCCTACTGGGGTTTCATCAACGGCAGTCACTAGTGCTAGTTCAAATATTCCTAATAATACTGATAATTCATTCAGAATATCGACCACAGTAAAGGCCTCGGAATTGTGGTGCTGCTGCTGCAATTGCACCACCGCGAGAAGTACCAAAGCACCTGGTTTCCTCGCCTGTCTTGGTGTTTGTGTGCTTGTTTTTGGGTACACACTTCTAGGTGCTTTTGCTTTTATGGCTCTTGAGGGTGGTTTTAAAACGGTAAATATTTTTATTTAATTTTTTTATAGGATTTATTAATTAATTTTATTTATTTTTTAATCAGGAACCACCACCAGACATCGTCAGACTGTCTACTGGTTCATCAAAACCCGGTAGTGGTAAGACATCGGTTAATGTCGCGAGTCGAGATCAAACAACTCAGTCGCCGGCTATTTTATCCGGCGAGGACGAAGAAACTGCAGAAGTTAGAAAATTACGAGCTAGCACTGTCGAGAAGCTCTGGAGCATCACTGAAGATCTAAATGTCCTTTACAAAGACAACTGGACGCGATTAGCTGAGCGTGAAATTCTCGAGTTTCAAGAAAAAATGGCACGGAGTCTTAACCACGATCCACGCTCGTCAACATTCTCTGTTTACGGAGGAACTATCCAGCGGTCTTCACGAGGTGGAAATGATAGATACAAAGGAGATAAACGCTGGACATTTGGCGGCAGTTTATTGTACTCCCTGACGCTTATTACAACAATTGGTAAGATTTTTTACTCGATAATTTACTTATCTAAGTAATAATTGTCTAAATAACTATAACAGGATACGGCAGTGTAGCCCCAAGGACTATTTGGGGTAGAGTAATCACCGTAGTCTACGCACTAGCAGGAATACCTTTGATGCTAGTCTACCTGAGTACCATTGGAGACGTATTTGCCAGGACGTTCCGTCGCCTCTACGGCAGGCTTTGTCATCGGAACACCGATTGTTCAAAAAAACAACCGTCAAGTGGCGGGCAGTTCCTGGTACCACCTCCTCCGATGCCAGGTTTGATTGAAAAAAGTTATCACCGCTATGACAATCATGTTGAGACGACAAAACTGGGCAATTTTTACTCCAGTAAAGACAGCTCTTGCGACGAGCTTGGTGTACGCGCTACCGGAGGCGCTATTCTTCTTGATCGCGATGGACTTGAGAGCAATCTCTACCTCCATTCAGCCTCTTCGGCAAATGCATTGCAGGTATTTTATTTTATTTTTTAATTAAATAAACATTTATCTATTAAATATTAAATTAAAAATTGTAAATAAATTATTTAAGGACATGAGTACAGAGAAACGACACTTGCATCCATGCTCTCAAATGTCACTGATGCCATCAGCAGTAGGATACGGCACTGACACTATTTGTGTTGTAAGAATACCAATAAGCCTGTGTCTTTTGATAATATTACTGTACGTGTGCGCTGGAACATTTATGTTTCACCGTTTGGAGGGGTGGAATTTATTGGAGAGTAGTTATTTCTGCTTCACGAGTCTTGGAACAATTGGATTTGGTGACCTCGTTCCTACCGGGAGAAGTGCTTCGACAAAACTATTAGAAGAACTTAGTCTATGCGCTTGCTCACTGTACATTCTCATCGGAATGGGTTTGATAGCAATGTGCTTTAATTTAATGCAAGAAGAAGTTGTACGTGTTGTACGAGTATTTGGTAGAACCTGTGGTACTAACGGAGGTATTACACCCGGCAGCTCTCTCGCCGGAGCAACAGGTTCGATTTAATCTCTAACTCTTATACAATCCCTGTCCATAACTTATTTATCGCTGTTTTATAATATACGAGTTTAGCTGAATAAAATTTTGTATTTTTTAGGACTTAAATCAGACTTGTGCGGGGACGCAAGTATCAGCATTGGTGGTAATATACTTTCCGATGGGTGTCGTCAGGAGCTGGACCACGAAGATGACGGTATAGCAATGTCACTAGTATCTGCTGCCTCCTGACAACGTCCAACCAGGAGTTCCGTCGATGATGGACAACTCCTGGCCCAACATCGTTTTGCGGCTATTAACAAACAACAATTAACCTCACCAGGTCGTTATTCATTGCCACGAAAAAAGACTTTGACCAACGATTTTGCTAGAGACACTTTTGGTCCTGCTGGGTCATTTTCACCCACAGCACATATTCAACGTGGAGTATCCTCATTTGCTCGGAATAATATATCACCGTTGCAGCATTATTCGTATCAACGCGGTGATGGCTGTCATTCACAGCAAGATGATCCTACTAATTTTGAATACTTTGTACCCAGAAGCATAAGTGAATTTAATTTGTCGGCATCCTCTGTTCAGGATATAGCAATAGCTCCAGTACCACTTCCTAATTCTGTGCTAAAACCGTGCTCCAATTTACCTATTTGTACTTCATCACAAACAAAAACAACCGGGACTATTGTCCAGAGTAATAACTCCTGTCTAGGTCGTTCAAACACCGAGAGTACTGGTAATAGTGGTGGTGGGACACTGGGGACTCGTAGTCGTGAAAAAATGGTCACGTTTGAAGATGAAGGAGGCTCTACGCCGACTCGTAAAAATTTAGCGCCCACTATGGAGAATGTTTTCATGTGACGCTATAAATTTATAAATTTATTAACAATTACTAATATTTATATGTCAATTATCTCATCATTTTTACAAAAAAAAATTTTTTTTAATGTGCTGCATTAAACGGACATATTATCATCATTAATCAGTATTTATACCGTCATTATCTTCATCATCATTTTAATTTCAATTGAGTTATTGTTATTGTAATTATAATTTATTTAATTATTCTCACCGTTACTACTCTCTGACGATATTGTTAAATTGTTACTGTATCGTAAAATTGATGACCCTCGGTTTAAATATCAAAGACAAATAAAATATTATAATAATAATAACACTAAAAAAATAATAATAGGTTGTTACTTTGATCAATTATCTAATATAATCTGCTATATAATTGCAGTCTTTATAGTTGAAATCATTATTATGATTATGATTATTATTATTATTATTATTATTAATATCACTTGTATTGTGATTAAAAACAGTATATTTAATATAAAAGCAAAATTTAAACTGTTGTACCTAATATAAAAAATTAAAAAAAAAAAAAAAAAACCAGTAAATATCTGTTTATGCAATTAATAGATTTGTTATTTGTTCAGGTAATCATTCTTATGTAATTTATATATTTAATATAATTAATGTGTCACATACTCGGATAATTTTTGAAAAAAAAAAATTTAATAAGCGGAATTACTCTGGATTCTTGATAATGATAATTACATGATTATTATTATGATTATGATTATTATTAGTTATCTTCTGGAAGCAGTAGAGGTACACACACATACATTTGAAACACCATCGCAGTATCGCGTCACGTACTGCATTGAATGAGAATCCTGAGGAATTTAATTAAAATTGTTATAATGAAATAATGAGTAGGTGAATGCATTGCTGCATTCATCTCTAAATTTAGCTGAGTAATAATAAATAATAATAATAATAAATATACGTGCATTCATCCATATCGGCGTCATCTGGACTCCCTCTTACTGCACATATAACTGTGCATACAATATCCAGAATGTGTGATATAATAAATTGTACCGTACAAAAAATAATTACTATAATAATTGGCAAAGATAGACCGGCTTCAAATTTATCCAGGAATTCATTCACACAGGGAGATAATAAATCTTGATTCACTCCCATTTCAATTTACAAAACTTAAAACTCTTTTTTTTTTTTTTTTTTTTTTTTTTTCCAAGCTTTTATTTATTTTCCATAATGGATATTTTGACAAGAAGTAAAAAACGTCACTAGTCAAAACACGGTTATATAAAACAAAAGAGTTATAAATAAATATAGAATATGCGATTTTTTTTATTCTAATTAATTTACTTAAATTTACAATTATATTTAAATAAAAAAGAGTCATACGATTTAAGGTTTCCATAATTTTACGAGACCGTCTTCGCTGTAAGAACACAAAAGATTTTGATGAGGATGATGAGCGATTCCAATTACGTCTTTTTCGTGAATCTAAAAAAAAAAAATAATTAGAATAAAAATTACTGGAGAGTAAATAATTAATATTTACATTAAGAGTTCTCTCGAGCTTTCCTGAAGACGTTGAGAAGCAATAGAGCACCAAATCTTCTCCAACACAGTAAATAAATTCACCTCGTGGACTTACAACAGTGCAAACAAAGTCACCGCCCTCTCGCTTACCACTGGAGAATGACCTGACTATTTGACCTTGCATGTTCATAATAACTACGGTATTTGAGCGGTTGCATACTACAAAGTGCTCTGGGTTTCTCGGTAAAACATGAACGCTGTTTACAGTAAGGTCGGCAGCACCGAGTGACTTGTACGTTCCGATGCACTCGGTAGTCTTGATACTCCAGACTTTAACAGTAGCGTCAGACGAAGCACTGATAACGTGATGTCCGTCAGAAGCAAAGACCACTTCGTTGACGAACGACGAGTGACCACGGAACTCTTTCAAAGTCTTTCCTGACTTCAGTCCGTGGATTCTTATAGTAGCGTCAAAAGAAGCCGTCAAAATTTGACCATTGTCTCGGCTAAATTGAATGCAAGTGACTCCTTTGGCATGAGCTTTCTCGAATCGTCTTATACACTGTCCGCTCTGGACACGCCAGACTTTTATCTTACCGTCTTGAGAGCCAGTTGCCAGCATTTCACTGTCTCGGCTGAAAGCCATTGACAGGACAGCTTGCTCCATCATCATAAAAGTGTCCTGAGCTTGGTACTTTAGATCTTTTCTTATTTTACCAGTTGTAAAATTCCAGACCTCTATGAAGCCATCCACTGAACCAGTCACCAAGTACTGACCATCTGGAGAAAACCTTGCACACTCTACGTGTGACTTTTGTCCAAATTTTATTTGTTTAGACAATTGAGTAGGGTATTTCTCGTCTTCTTGATCTCTGACTGCAGCCTTACCACGGAATAAATCAATTGTTGTACCAGGAGGCAAAAGTCCTTGATGCTGTTGCCATTTCAAAGCTTGTCCCAATAGGGCCAACAGTCTGCTTGAGGGTACTACTGATACTTCTCCAGATAATGCGTTGGCTATGTAAGCACGTCTCTTTTCTTTGGTGCTACCATCGGGATAAGCTTCTCGCGGATCAAAGTAAGACCTCGCCAATAGATTTTCTGTTTATAATAAATTAAAAATCAATTATACTGAAATTGAGAGACATCTGACAATTTTTAGAAATTTTTTTAATTAATAAATTATAGCAAAAAAAAATTTATTTAAAAAATTCCATTTTTAGAAGCTCTAAAAAATTATAAATCCAATTTTTTATAAATAATTTTCTAGGTCTAATTAATTAATCAAGAAAAATTAAAAAATTTTCAGGTATCTGTTATAATTAAATTTATTTATAATTTACCCAGATGAATATATCTTTCTGGCTCCTGTTGTTTCATCATAATCATAGGATCTGTTTGTCGTAGTAAAGATCTAGCAGCGCCCAATTCCCTAAGTTCAATCAACTCTAACACGATCTGCTCATATAAATCAATCAGCTTTTTATCCGGCAGTTTTAACGACTGTATAGCTTTTAGAACTGTGTCCCAATGACCATTATTTATATCCGCTACAAAACCGTCAACACTGTCAACTGTGTTAAGAGAAACTCCAGTTTCTTCCTGTGATAATAAAAATTTTTGTTTTGTTATTTATTACTTGACAGGGCTCAGAGAGCCTACCCCATATGGAGCTAGATGTTCACTCCGCTTAAAACAGTGCTATATAAAAATTTTTTAGGTAAATTTATATTAAAAATATTACCTGTAATGTCTGAAGTGTTTTAACAAGATTTGATTCTTTTAAATATTGTTGAATTAATCTTATTACACTGTAATAAACAAATAAATAGAACAGGTTAATAATTTTAACTCTAAAAATTTTTTTACTCTAATAAAAATGTATTAATTTGTACTTACTCAGCTGATTCAATTTCAATAGACATTTTAGCGGCTTATTATTGTACAAAAAAAAAAAATTATTTTGATTAATTAAATATTTATAATTGTATTGTAAAAATTTATATTGTTGTGGATTTTAATCCGCCGAATTTGTTTATTATTTTCCGACTGGAAGTTGAGGTTATGTGGACTGTAAATGAAGCTGCGCGCGCAATTCCGATAAACTAAATGTATAAAAACAAAATTTTGAAGCCGTGCGTGAAAGTGTTAGTTGCAAATTTAATTCAACTCTTTTATAAGTCAATAATGCTAATAATTATTCATTTTAATATAATTTATTTTTGTGTTTAATTTAAGTTTTGTATTATTCTGAATTTTTTTAAACTGTAAAATATTATTCATAAATTGTAAGTAAATTTTTTTATTTTGTTTTGTGAGGTTAATTTTGTAGAGCAATAAATTAACAATTTATTAAATTTTCAGTTTTTAAATAATGACAGACAATAAGGAAATGGAGGTAATCGATTTGGAGTCTGACGATGAGTCAAGTACCGCTACAGAAGACAAGAGTCCCCAGAAAGTCGCAAAAACGCCGACAGTAACATGCATAAATTTCAAGTGTTCATCAGGAGTCAGCATGAAAATAGCTCCTACGTTTGCTTGTTCATACTACGGGGTCAATATGGTGAAAAAAAAGAAAAGATTTATTTGCGAAAAATGTTTAAAAGCTGCCATCGAGCATCAGGAACTCCTAGTAGATGCGATGTTAAACAAGAAACCATTATTGCAGTGTGAATTTCCTGATCATACTATGGAAGTTGAAATATCCGACAGTGATGAGTCTGACAGTGAAGTTAAAGATTCTTCTTCTGGTAAGTTTAATAATTTTTTTACCTGTCACTAATTTTAATTATTTTTAACTTTAATCTATTTTCAGATGAATATTTACCTGAGGAATTCATTAAGAGTATTGGCGAGAATATCGACAATGCCTTGACTAATGTCATAAAAAATTATGACATAGAGTTTCAGATCAGAGAATCCCACAGAATATTAAAAGCTCAGTATGATCAAATAAATGGTAAGTAACGTAGATTTATAATTTATTGTTATAAATTATATAAAAATATATTAGTTTGTTAGTAATATAATGAAAATTAAGTTAGCCGACATCTAAAAATTTTTATAATTCTTTTTATTGACAAACTTATTACAAAATATTAAAAAAAAAAAAAGTTTATACGTAAAAAACTTGAAAAACTAAGTGCAATTTTTAAAGAATACTTTTTAGTTATTATTTAATAAATGAAAAAATATTAAAAACATCGGATAATTTTAATATAGCATATTATAGTAATAAATACATTTTTATAATTTTCAGAGGAAAATAGTCAACTAGACAATGACATAACGGATATGATATTAAAAATGGATTCCCTGAGAAGTAATTTATACAACCAGTTCAGACCAGACGTAAAAGAAATCAAAGAAATACATATCGAAGACCCTCCAGCAGATACAATTCCTCATCCTCCGGTAGCGACTAAGAAAGTAACCCAAATAATTCGTGCCCCAACTGTACAACCCACATCCACAGCCCAACCAGATAATGCTGTTGAAGTAATGTCGGTTTGTCCTAAAGGAAAAATAAACATGGAACTCGGGCTTCCACCTCAAGGTAATCTAGTAAGACGAGCAGCTGAAGTTGATAACTTAGTTTTAGTAATGAAGCACCCATTGCTGGCCTGGCGACGCGCCAAAGTTCTTTCAATTGTCTCCCGAACTCCAATGACATACCGCATCAAGTATGCGTCCAAAAAATACAGCACACAGTCGAAGCAAGTCTTTGGAAAGCAACTCGCTATTTTTGAACCGTGTTCTGTGATGATTCCTGTAGCTACGAGAGTGGTAGCGCTGTTTAGTGACCACCAGTCCAATGAATACTACAGCGGTGTCATTGCTGAACCTCCAAAAGCTACAAACAAATGCAGATATTTGGTATTCTTTGACGACGGGTATGCTCAGTACGTCGCTCACAAAGATATCTTCGTAGTCAGCGAAAGTTCTCTTCGTGTTTGGGAAGACATACCCATTGAATCACGAGAATTCGTCAAGAAATATCTGGAGACGTATCCTGAACGTCCGATGGTAAAGCTGCAGAAGGAACAAGTGGTGAAGACGGAGTGGAACGGCAAGTGGTGGATCGCGAGAGTCATTCAAGTAGATGCCAGTCTCGTCCAGATGTACTTTGACGCTGATGGACGCAATGAGTGGATCTACCGCGGTTCTGCGCGTCTTGGACCTCTGTTCTTGGAGTTATTGAAAGCTAGCGCTCGCCAGCAAGGCCATCATGCGCCTATCAACACTCCCACGCGCCACAGATTCACTGGTACTCTCAATAAAAATAATGTACCTTATGTCGAGTATACTTCCATACACGGCGACCAAGAAGCCGAGTTAGAGCTACCGAGTCCCCAAGCTCACGCTCAAAAATTAAGCTCATTCATCAAAGACACTTCAAGTGTCTCAGCGCCAGCTCAATCTCGCGCTGTGGCCAAAAAGAGCACAGCCAAACGATCAAGCACACCAGCTATTGTTGAGATTCCCCAAAACTTTGCTGCTAATTCTGAAACTAAACCTTCTCACAGTATTGTTTATTATCAGACACAAAATAAAATTCAAACTCGAAAATTTGTCGCTCACAAATGCGGACCCAATTGCATCAGAGGTATATCATTTTCTCCAGCAGATCTCAAAGGCTATTCGCCACTGTCTATTCCTCTTTTATGCGGATGGAATCGTCAGCTGTGCAAATTTCCCAAAGGAAAGAAAGTCATTTTGTATCAAGCACCTTGTGGCGCGAGATTGCGTAACATGGAAGAGGTTCACAGATATCTTCGTATTACTGAAAGTACAATGTCCGTTGATTTATTCGATTTCGACTACTGGGTTCATTGTCTGGCCGAGTTTGTTTTAGACAAATGCTTTGTCAATATAAAAGATCTCAGCTACGGAGTTGAAAATGTTCCCATTCCTTGTGTCAATGAAATAGATCATAAATTACCAGACACTATCACTTACAGCACTATAAGAGAGCCTACTGAAGGAGTTACTCTCAATACAGATCCAGACTTTTTGTGCTCTTGCGATTGTGAAGACGACTGTCAGGATAAAAATAAATGCCAGTGCTGGCAAATGACAATTCAGGGAGCGACATTCGGTGGTCGTGTGCCTAATCCAGCAGTGGGTTATGTTTACAAGAGATTGCCCGAGCCTGTGACTACTGGAATTTATGAATGCAATTCCCGGTGCAAGTGCTCGGTGAAGACGTGCTTGAATCGCGTCGTTCAGCACCCGCTCAGCTTGAAATTACAAGTCTTCAAAACAGCCCCGAGAGGCTGGGGTATCAGATGTCTCAATGACATTCCACTTGGGTCATTCATCTGCATCTATGCTGGCCGTCTTCTGACGGAACAAGGAGCCAATGAAGGGGGGAAAAATTACGGAGATGAATATCTAGCAGAGTTGGACTATGTTGAAGTCGTGGAGGGCATCAAAGAGGGCTTTGAGGCTGAAGCTTTTGAGCCTGAAATAACCACTCCTGCTGACAACGATGATGCTAATCAGGAAAAACAGCTTGAAGATGAGGCTTCTCGCAAAAAAGGCACTGATGACTCTGATGAAGAGTTTAATCCTAAACAGTTCAATCAGGAATTCGCGAGGATCGACACTGACCCAGCAGATGCTGGAAATATGAAAAGTCGGCTGAGAAAACGGAAAAAGAGCACTGATGACGGGCCAGACACTTCGGAAGACAAGAGCGAAGACGGTAGCACTGGTAAAGGCTCTAATACTACTGACAAAGGTGACGATGGCAGTGATGAAGATGAAGGAGATAAAAGTAGCGGAGGAATGCGAGAGCCCAGCCGATTTGAGCCAAGTGTTGAGGCTTCTCAAGTTGAACCGATGAAATTTAAATCCGTGAGAGATTTCTTCGGCGAGGATGAAGCTGTTTATATCATGGATGCTAAAACTACTGGAAATATTGGACGTTATTTAAATGTAAGTGTAAATTTTATAATTAAATATTTTTATTAATTAATATTTAATTATTTGTCTTTTAGCATTCCTGTGATCCAAATGTCTTTGTCCAAAATGTGTTTGTGGATACTCATGATGTCCGGTTTCCATGGGTTGCATTTTTTGCCCTGAATTTCATCAGAGCTGGACAAGAATTAACTTGGAACTACAGCTACGACGTAGGAAGTATTCCCGGAAAAGTTATTATTTGTAAATGCGGTGCATCGAATTGTCGTGGTCGTTTATTGTAAGCTATTTTACCGTTGGTTTTCCTCGATTTTATCATAAAAAATAAATAAATAATTGATTGACAATTATCATGACTCCTTTTAAATAATCACCAATATTTAATAGTATATTATAAATATATTTTGATTTATTCCTATAAAATGAATTAAAGTCACAACGTGCTAATCATTAATTTCACTCAATTTTTATACTTGTACATACAAACTTTTATATTCCTATAACTAAATAATATTAAGCGAGGCACAGATTTAAAAAATTATAAGCGTCGTATATTTATTTGACATTTATAAATATTCATCAATCTTTCTTTTATTAATAAAATTTGTTTAGGCTTATTAAAACAGAAATAAAAAAATTTTTTTTATATTTTAATTAGCAGATGCTGTCGTCAGTACTATCATAATACATTATTAATTATATATACGCTCTCAAATATTTATTATTCATTATTATAATAGTATTAATAAAGCTACGCGACAATGAGTTATAGTAACAATAATTTTCTTTACTCAGTACATAAATTTAAGCATAAAACAGATTTTTAAAAGCTCACGGACATTGTGTTTGCACACTTATATTATTTATAATATATTATATAGTCATAATCAAACTAAAAAAGTTACTATCATTACTTTAAAAAAAGAACATACGTAAAAATAGTCATTTGTATACAGAAGATTAATAACAATTAGCAGTTATTATAATCTACAGAAACATTCAACACACTATCAACGAAATTTAATATTTTTTTTTTTTTTTTTTTTTTTTTTTTTTTGTATCTTCACTCATTAATTATTATTTATACTTTTAATTTTTATTTATTAAATATATTATTTATGATTTTGGTTTTGTGCGTTAGTGCCTATCACGGAGTAGATTTTTAATCTCGTCTTTTTCAGCTGCATCAAGGTAAGTTTTACCATCTGGTGTCAATCCATCTTGCTTAGCGCCTTTCTCTAGCAGCAATTTAACACATCCGGCATGACCCTCCCAAATTGCCGATAACAGACTAGTTATACCATGTTTGTCAGTTGCCTGTAAAATTATTTCCTCAATTATTCCTATTACTCGCCCACTTTTGCATAATTACTAATTAAAAATCAAATTAAATGCAATTTTAACTGCGGAGAGAGCGGTCAGTTTAAAACTACCTCAAGTTCCAGTTTTTATTTTTAATTTAATTGAATTATTAATTAAAAAAATATTTTATTAATACTCACATCAGCATCAGCACCTTTGTCAAGAAGATATCTAAGTACTTCATTTTGCCCATAGTCAGCAGCGTAATGCAACAGTGTCCTGCCATCAATCTTTTCGTTTACATTAATGTTCTAAAAAAAATATAATAAATAATAATTGGATTTTTATATAAGATTTGCTGATTATTTAAGTATATTTATATAATAATAATAATAATAATAATAATAATAATGGATGGTAAATAATTAAAAACTTACTTTTTTTTCGAGAAATTCTCTGACTTGATCAATGTCGCCGTTTTTAACTCCCCAAACAAGTTCATTCATTTTCATCTAAAATTTATTTTACTTTGGCAGGAAGAATTATTTATTTTTTTAATGATTCGAGCCAGTTTTTTTGTTCTTGGTAATTATTATAATCAATGTTTAATAATATATTGCATCCACTCACAAGTGTCGTTCGCAGGCCTTACAATTCCGCGATAGAACACTGACAGTTCTGGAGATCGCTGGAGATGGAGTTACTTTCCAAGTGGTTCTTATTTTTAAAATAGAGTGCGCTACTTGTTTCATTTAATTGTTTTAAAAACTGTCAAGTGCTTTTGAGTGCTAAAAAAAATATTAAATTAAAAATAATTAATTAAGATACAGTAATAATTTTTTTTCAAACAACTTTATTTATAATTATTACAATAAAGTTTTGTAACATTAATTTATTGCTACCTTATTATACTATTTATATATTTTTACAAACATGCAAAGATTAATGTGTCAGTTTTTCAGATAAATGCTACCAATAATCTCTGGATGATTTTTTCTAAATTAATTCAGCGCTGAAACAAGAAATTAATTAAAATAATTAATCAATAATTTAAAAATATTGAACACGTGTGATGGTAAAAACAATAATTATTTTTAATTCACAAATTTATTTTCAACTAAACAAAAGTTAATTACAATATTATTAAAATAAACATTAATCCTATAATTAATCTTTCAGAAAAGCGTATTAACTACGCGATCTGTATCTACTGCGAGATTTATGACTTCCAGATCTATGACGGTGAGTTTTTTTGGTCTTGCGAGTCCGACTGCGACTGTGACTCCTGGACCTGCTTCTACTTGAGTGCTTCTTCCGCTTATTATGCTTAGTTTCTTCACTCCGTTGAACAGACCCCGAAGCATTGCTGGAAGACTTCGAGCGCTTGGGTGATTTTGCTCGTTCAGGAACGGCATGAGTTCCACTGCGGCTGATGAAACCTCCCCAAGCATTGTGGTGCTTCGGAAGAGGAGGACTGGGAGTGTGTCCTTCAGCATCTCCACGTGCTTTGGACCTAGCTTCTTCAAATTTTCGCCTTAGTTCCTCGACTTTTTTCTCCAATTGCTCGGAGTTTATCCTCGGGCGAGAATACAGCCTTAGAATACACTTACAAACGTCTCTGATGGCTGATTCTTTGACCTTAAATAGAGCAAACCAAGGAGGCTGTGATGGCAAAGGAAGTTGGAGCTCTCTAGCGCCCAAATAAACACAAGCGCAAGCAATTGTTTCTGGATGGTGTCGTAAAAATACATCTGAACGCAGTGAATCGTTCATGTAATTCCAGCACTTTTGCATCAAAGCGCGGTTTTTTTCATACCCCAACACTTGTAAGTACATGACAATTATCTTGTGAGGATGTTTCACATGAACACAGAAGCCCAACTCCTTCAAAACTCGACGTTCTGATTTAATTACTTGATTTTTTAGAGCTACATAATTTTGATCAAGAATTACTGGCTGGATTGTTTTTTGATTGGCTACCTGTTTGATGTGATTGAAGACGTTGATTACATCCCTGATTCTTCGAGGTGCTTCCTCGATTTTACTTGACAAGCAAACACAGCCCATGGCGGTGATCTCCATGTCATGCCTCACCAGAGATTTACTGTAATAAAATCTCTGAAACAAGACTTGACTCGTGGCCATCGCAACCTGTGGTAATTTCAGCAGGATTCCAGCTGTTTGGATCAGCTCGCAGCCATAAATTCGCAAATCTATCTCCGTCTCGGCATCCAATCCATCCAATCGACTTGGAGTGGTAATTAATTTTTCTTCTGGCAATAAACAGTTTTGTAAGGTTAACACAATGCTTCCGTACGGTTTTGTATTATTCACTGACACATTTTTAGTCGTGGGAACTATGTTTTCTTTTGAACTCATTGTTACACTGATAATAATAAATAAATTATTGTTTTTGACAATTGAATTTATATTAAATATAAATTATTAATACATGCGAATGTTGGAGTTAAAACAAAAATATAAAACCAAACATTAGCTGCTCACGCAGTGCATGTCGGCGGATTTGGACTATTTACTGAGCTGGTAGTTTTCTTTTTTACAGGTGGTGGCGCTTTTGATTTTTTTAGTTGGTAAAGTAGCAAATGGAAGCAGATAGTTTCTTTAATTATAATTTGACGACAGATGGCGGTAATGTTCACTTAGAAGAGTTCAAAATGTCAAAATGTCAAACTGCAAAAAAAGGTTTTTATATTTTTTTTATTACAGTAAAAAAATTCTAAAATTTATAAAATACTCCAAAAAATTAAATCTGAACCATTTATATTTTGTAATTTATCATAAATAATTTTAATTACAATTTTTTATGATAAAAAATAAATTTAATATAGCAAATGTCAATCTCTAGACTATTTTGATAAGAAGAAATAATTTTTTTTTAAAAATTAGAAAATAAATAAAATAATTAACGTTGATCGAGGCGAACAAAAAGTAATATGAGCTGGTTAACAACCTTCATATGTCTGAACGAGATTATAATAAAAGTACATAGAGGTATTATAAATCCAATCCAAGTACTTACTGGTTTACATTGAAAAAAAAAGTAGGCGCGGTAAGTAAGCGTAAACGTGCTGATGATCAAACAAGGAAACTGGTCCACCCATGAATGAATAGTGTAATTTAATACCAAAGACGTTTATGTTATTATAACACTTATTGCTTATTATGTTTATTACTATGTACATGTAAATGATAGAATTTATTTTTTACAGATATAAATTTGAAGATAAAAAAATACGCAATTATCACTGGAAGGGAAGATTCCTTTCGTTTCCTCTGCACGGCTGGATGCTCATGATTTCTCTCTTAACATTTGACTGTTGTTATGATTCTCAAATAAAAATCTCTTCCTCGCTTTCGCCTGTCTACGTTGCACGTAATGAAAGCATGTATATATACATATAAGTACATTACAATTGCATATTCGCGATATATAAAAATTAAGTATATTCGTATATTTCAGAGAGAAAGGTGTTACGGTGATAATAAAATTGTTTATTCCTAGACTGGACGATGCTACTAATCAATTTGTAGGTAAAATAAATAAATATTCATCAGGGAGCATTCGTAATAATGAATTACATGTAATTAAATTAAAGCTTCGCCTACATAACACCTTTTAATTATCCAAGAGTATGGTCATAAATTTCTGAGAACCGATAAAAAAATACTATACATTATTATCCAAGAAATCATTAGGATTTAAATTGATCTACTGAAGACTAAAGAAAAAAATCCTTATTCCGATTAACCAAAGTAAATTTATTGACCAGCCAATAAATCTATTTACTTCCAAGAGTTTCAGAGTATTAAGAAAAAAAAAAGTCGGTCGAGGACATATGTAATACTTGGAGTATAATCGCTAACAAAATCTCTGGATTTGTTCTTGGATGTTTTATTTAAAAAATAATTTTTATTTCTTCTAGCTACACGCAACCATCATCTCCAACACAGAAAATCACTGTGGGCGTTACAATAAAATGACAACAAGGATTACATACAAAATTAACACGTAATAATATGCAGGAATTGTTTATATTATTCGTGCTCGAGTATTGTGGTGAATGCATTTCAAGTTTAAAGGCGTGACGGTTTGCCTTCTCTGTTTTTTTTTCCTACACATCCATTGTTAACCAGGTGTTTTGATTTAAAGTAATTGTTTCGTATCACCGCCGGGAGTTTTTGTCACACCCTAGCTTCTATAATCGAGCAATAACTCTTTCTCTCGCATTCATTCTTTCTTTTATTGTCATCTATATTTATATTATCGCTCCACTCGTATGCTTTCCTTCTCAATAAACTTTTTTTTTTATTTTTTTCCCAACCCACATTTACACAATAAACGTTCTCACGAACTTTGTGTCGCGCGAAGCATGACAATTTTATTTATTTTTCTTTCTTTAATTGTATCAATATAAATATACAGCGATTATTTGCAGTTGCCCCACTCAATAATATATGTAATAAAAAATAACAACAGCAGTGCAATTATTATAATCTAAGATATTAATAATTAACTTGAGTATCCTTTTGTAAAATATTTTATAACTTCCTTGATGGAATTAAATTGATAATACTTGTTTTTTTATTATTTTTAGGCACAAAAAATTGCATCCTGACAAATTTCCGTCGGAAATGGAAAGAGAGATTTCAAAAAATTCAACGCTTAACAATAATAAATCGTAGATAATTATATATTATAATTTATTACGTTATTTTTATTATCTGGTATATCAATTATCCATTCAATAATTCAGTAGGTATGTAATTAAATAATAAAATAATAAGACATTGTTGTATTAAATAAGTATTATTAACAGCATACAATTGTATTTTAATTATAAATCACACATTTTTATTGAAAACATAAGTAGGTGTACGTATTAAAAAATTTTATGTCACACGGTAATAAATTCAGCGTGTATGTGTTGGGGTGATAAAACAAATTTCCTGATAGCTTACGTAAAAATTAATAGAAAGACTGTGTAGTTAATTGTGACGGTGCATTTGGATCCAACTAATTTGTTAATCTTCGTCGTATTTATTAATTTTTTTTTTTTTTTTTTTTTTTTTTTTTTTTTTTTATCGCAGTATCATCAATAGTATTAAAAGTACTAATTAATTCCGTAGATTGTATATATTATTTACAAACTTAAAAATTCTTATAAAAATTTAAATGACAAAAATCGGAATGACGTTTAGACGATTTGTTTTTTGGAAACTACTGGGTACAAACTTACAAGTAAAATCACGTTCGCGCTACGCCGACCGATTCTGTTGATATATTTTCATTTTTATCATTATAAATTTACAAAGATTGATTCGAGTTTAATAAATCATACTTTAGCAGCTTCAGGTTTAGCTGTTTCCTCGGATGGTGGTGGAACGGTTGGAATTTCGGGGTACTCGAGTTTAGCGCCTTCTTCGCACTCGAAGATTGGACAACAGTCGGGGAAGGTTGCGGTTTTGTTGGTTTTCTCAGAGAGCTTGCACTTGGGGTTGGCTTTTGGAAGAGGTCCACAGTCCTCGACCAGCTCGAAGAGTCTGCCAGAGTCGTCGTCTGCTGGGACACAGGTAGAACGACCACAGAATGGAGACAATTCCCAGCTTTTACCTGGTTCTACTGTTGCGCACTTGGTTGATGCAAAGCACATTCCCGGAAAGTCTGTAATTAAATTTTATTTTTATCAATTCAATTATACAAATAATTTTATTTTATTTTTCAGGAACAAATTTATCAAAAAGAAGAAATAAAATACATAAATAATGGACTAAAGAGAGAAAATCCAGCTACTATACATAAGTTAGGATGACGCAATAAGAGAAGCATCAAACTTTCGCTTCCTCATTTTGCACTCTCTAAAGTCACACTTACTAGCAATTAATTGCTCACCTAATTCATCAAATCAACAAATTAATCAAGCTTGTGAAGAAAAAACAGGCTGGCTTGTTAGCCAATTAAGTAATTAATTAAAAAAAAATTCAACTTACCACGAAGAACATCAGCTGGAATAAGTCTCCTGAATGTCTTGGGGCGTTCTTCATCCTGAGCAACGACCACCGCGACCAAGAGTACAATAGCAAAGTATTTGTTCATGATTTAAAAAAAATAGTCGTTGCTTCCGATTGAACGACAAATATAATGACAAATAAGTCTGAATTAACGATTTAACAAACGGTGAACCCGCGGCCAAAGACCAAGATACTCTCAGTAAAGGATGATTAAGACTGGTTAGGATTTATCTTGGTGGCGAGGTTTTATAGGTGAATGCCGGGCGGGGTCTTTTTGCATGGATGTGTATGGAAGGTACGGTCGGCGAGGTAAAGGTATCCCCCACTTGGTGCTTTTATGATAGAACAACAAAAACCGTGTATGTGGTGTACATTGGTCTCTGGCTCTCAGCAACCACCTCTCCAAATGCCGTGACCATTGCCCCAGAAGATTACAGACTATCATTGTCAGAAAATAAATATGTTATTATTTTACACAACATATTCAACATCATCTGGGGAACAATTATTCATATACTTAATTGTATAAAAAAAAATTAATTTAGTTGCTTACAATGTGATATTTTTTTTCTCGAATCATTCAACTAGGTCATGATTTCGTTCTGATTTTCTTATATCGATAACCATGAGATGCTTTAAACTAAATCTTTAATTTTATTTTAGTAATTAATAGTGTTTACGGTTGGCGAGTTACTTTCGCCTTTTAATTGAATCGTCTGTTTAATTCACATTAATTTTTTACTTTGTCGACTTCCTAAACTGATTAACAGCCTTCAGTAGCTATACCTATAGCTACACTGATATAAATAAAAATAACAATTAATTTTAATCGCACTTAATTTTAGAACCCGAAGATCTAAATGAAGATGTGAAATTTGCCGTACAATTTTTATTAAATACTTTCCAAGAAGCTGCTCATCAATTCTCATTTATCTACATTAATACACGCTAAATTATCGTGCTCATATAGATATAGATTTAATGGAAAAGGCGAAAGTAGAGACGTCGTTACGGCTTTTTATATACCAACCTGTATAATATTTCATTGATTTTTAATCCCTTTGGGTTTTTTTAATGTAGCATTCATTTTTTTTAGTGCGAAGAAATCATCAAATATCACTATTGAAATCCAAAATAAAAAAAATAACACTGACCTTTTAAGTTGTTGGTCAATATTTGAACGAGTATGAGGTAATCTGGATAAGGCTACAATTTATGTTATAGAATTCTAAATGTAATTGAGCAAAGGCGTTTTGAATCATAGAGTAAGTTTTTTTTATCTTATTATTTTATTATAACTGTAATCGAAATAAAATTCGAGCCTAAATTTAATGTGATGTACAATAAATGTGATTACAATCTCAAATGAAAATTATTATTATTACGGTAATTATTTATTATAAGTACCACGCAAGCGATCTACACTCTGTAGATCGTGAAAAGGTGAAAGCACACAATCAATCGTTTCAGGCTTGTTATATTCCTCTCACTCTTTAACGTTTCTTTTTTTTTTTTTTTTTTTTTTTTTTTTTTTTCAGGTATTTATTTTTAAATATTTATTTCATCTTATCTGCAGAATAGTATCGTCTTTATACGCGACTGAAGGATGATATTGCGTGAAGAAATATCACAAATACCAGTTGCGAGTTATGACTAATGACTATTTGGGAGTGAGGAAATACTTTTAATTTATTGTATATTAGCCGTGTAAGGTAATACATTTTATTTACTATTATATTAACATTAATATTAATGTAGCTACAAAAGAAGAATATATTAAATAATTGTCCTATTGTCCCTTTCAGGTCTAGTTGGACTGTAGAAAGTAGAAGCGGATTTACGGCTGGAATAATTTGATGAACGTTGAGCAATACGATGATTCATAGTGAAAATAGTATTTTCTTCCTCATCTTCATCGTAACTTTTACGAGGAACTGTAAAAAGTATTCTTCTCAAGCCGTAGAATTAATTTTTGAATTTTTATTTCTTAATTGCTGATATATATTCACACAGTCAATTTCATCTTGACCTTGACCACCTCCGGACAGTGAAATTTGGGTTGTATTTGTAAAAGCGAGTTTAACGAAAGAGAAATGAAAAAAAAAAAAAAAAAGTACTTAATATTGACCAAGATACGATGAGTCAAGCTTTGAGTTGACTTCACCTGGCCACGTGTCAATGTGCTAATCGTTATCCGTCACGAGTCTATTACACGGATTGCGACACTAAAGTTGATAAATAATAAACATGAAGGTATACTTAGTGTAAGTATAAATTATCCTCACCAGATTATATTACAGGCGATGGCAATTAACACGACGGCCCATCCTCTTCCGGCTTCCGAATTGGTTTGACACTTTTTTAACTAAAATTTTTTTATACTTTAATGAATATACTTTATCCTGTTGTATCAATATTCATTTTATAATTTATTATAATTAGTTCCAGACATCCGGCTGAAAATTTCGCTTACACCAGAAGCGATCAAGCGTAATCATTGTATGACAGCTTTTAATTTTATGAATTATGTAAAAATAGAAAAAGGACAAGTTAATAATTAAATATTGTATAGCTAAGAAATGGCATCGATGCGTAAGTCAACGATTAACTTCTCTAGGAATCAACGCCTTCTCATCAGGTACTTGCGATCATGTAACATACCCTTGACATACTTTTAGTTATATAATTATTAGTTGTATTGTTGTCAATCACAGAATACAAATCTTTGGAATAACAACGACATATCATTAAGGAAGTCTCCACTTTTCATTTTATTTTATTAAAAAAATTAATCCAAGTAACGGATAAATAATTATTTTATTATAATTATTTCTACTTGTGTTTACGGAACAAAATAAATCAAGAACTGTTCAAGGAAAGAGTTTTTTATTCACAAGGTAGGTGTAACTTTTTAGACAAAAAATAGATACACGAAGGTTATAAGTATTTCATCTGATCTAGTATTAAGTCAACCTAAGCTGGACTAATTTTGATGAAGAAAATTAGCTATAAATATTTATAGAAATGCTTTTTTTATAATTTAAGGTATAAAAACATTGCCGATGTTTGATAATCGACTTCTTAGGCACGTACTTAAAATTTTAACATCTCTTTCAATGTTCTTGTATCCACATTTGTGTATTACACATGAATTGTACATACTTAACAGCTAACTTATGTTTGTAATTTAATATTCTATAGATAAAAATAACAAACTTGAATTTTCAATTGCTAATTAAAATTATAAATAAATTTGAAAATAAAAAAAAAATATATTCTTACTGTAATCTATTAAAATTTTTTAATTTTAAAAAATTTTATTAAAATTTCTAATTTTAATAGACCACAGAGAATTTTTTTTTTTTTTTTTTATAATGAATTAATTTAAAATACCACTTAATTATGGATAGTAATTAACCGCATTAAAAAGATGAATACTTTGTTTAATTATTGCCGATTTAGTAATAACATAATAACTATTACTTTCTAATTTCAACTAACAATTTACACATTTTGTTTTAAAATAAAAACTTTGATTTTAGTGTAAATATGTTTTGGTATCTTGACTCGTATGTACAAACTCGTGAGAATAGTAAAAAGTTAACACGACAATTACTTAATAATTTAAATACGGATTTACATACGGATAATTTATTCATTTAAAATTCGATCTATTTCAATAAATAATGTAGAAATTTTTTGAGTAATTAATTTATAAACTAAAATCGCCACTTAACATAAAATTAGCTAAATTCCAATTGATTGAGGTTCTAATAAGGACAATGCAGAAATTTCGAAATCATTAAATAACGTACTGGTGAACGCTACCAATAGAAATTAATTGTCATCCAAGCCGAAGACGCAGTCCAAGACTTGGTCTTATTAGTCTTTTATCCTCTTTCTCCTATAATCTAATTTTTGAATGTGTTGTTTGTGATGTGATTAATCAGTAGCAGCAAATCGGTCTCGCCAAACGCAGTCCCGATGTTTCGTTGCCAGCACAGGTTCAATAACTCGACCGGTGGAGCAAATTCTTGTTCTAAAACGATCTCTGTCGCGAGCCATCTGTTCCCAAGGTCCTTTACGAGCTGCGCGGTATGCAAAGTCCCATTTTATTATTGTGTGGACAGTTGGTTCTAGATTAAATCGTACCTAAACAAATAAATAAATTAATGTTATAAAACTAACAATAACAACAGTCAGAATTATTTAATTAAATCATAATAAAATGTATATTACCTTTGTATTAGTTGAATTATTAGTTGTACTAGGTATTTCTGTTTCAAATTTAATAAAGTCATCGTCAGAAAAATGATGAGAACCATCGACATCATCATGATCAAAAACAATATCACTATCATCATCATCATCATCATCGTTATCAAAAACAATATCCATGTCATCTTCATCATCATCAATTTCGCTTTCGCTTTCGCAAGACGATTCTGATTCTGATTCTGATTCTGATTCTGATTCTGATTCTGATTCGGACTCTGACTCTGATTCTGACTCAGTTTCTTCTTCCTCTTCATCTTTAAAATGAACCAAACAGTCCTGAGATTTAACAGGACTTTCAGGTAAATGGATTTGTTGACAATCCTCTGGTACCCGCTTGTTGGAATGATTAAAGCTCTCCGTTAATTTTTCATCAATCACATCTTTAATAGCAGACGTATCAATAATATTATCAATTGGTGGGTCTCCCAATGCGCATTTTTCTACAATAATATAATTTTCAAAATTGAGCGAACACTTTTTTTGGTCATCTCTGTTTTCATCTTCGTCAGATGAAGAAATAATACTGCATAACTCGTCCGCCGATGAATCAACTACCGTACCCTCCCAGGTATTTAAATCATTTTGAATAGCCGAATAAATAATATTTTTACTTTTTTCCTTTCTATGCTTCATTTGGCCTGTGGTAGTAGATTTTCTCAATGGTATTCTACGTCTATTTTTTCCAAGAGTCTGAGCAACCGCGTTTCTATTATTAGAACGTTTTTTCGGTAGACGAGATTTCGTTTCAAAGATTTGTTCAGCAGACAAATCTACGCAATCATTATCGGATTCCATAGCATCGTCTGATTTAGATAAATTATTATCAGTAACTGTTGTCATTTTTGTTTCCGATTTTTCGAATCCAGATTCACGAGGCTTATAATTAATCTTGATGGTCTTCAAGCTCTCCTCCATAGCCATAGCTAAATCTTTAATATATTGAGAGTTTAGCTGATTATTATCCATCTTTTGAACGGAATCAGGAGCAGGCTTCAACTGTTCCTTATTTACTTTGAAGTTTTCTTCAATAGCCAATTGTACATCAGGAGCGTGCTGAGAGTATAAAAGAGAAGCATTCATCTGCTGATGATAGTAATAGTCATGTGCGTTATCACCCCACATACTATAATTATTAGTATCATCAGAAATTCTTTGCGACAAATTATTAAAAGCCTCTATTGTATGCGATCTTCTGATGTAATTTTGATAACGCTTCGAAGTATTCATCAGCGTTGAATCATCCGTGGTAAAATGTTCACCATCAGTCAGCGGTCTTACGACATACTCTGTTGGAAAACTTTCCTGTGGAACTACTGTTACAGACAGTGATCTATTTACTGTTGAAGTAAAATTAGTTATTTTAGAGACGATGTTTGTTAAAGCATCAATTACACCGCCAATCATTCCTGTAACACGAGTGTTACTTTTTTTTTCATCAGAACTACTTTTTTCTGACTCAAGTTTAGAATCCTCGGTAAGATTCATTTTGCTTGAATTTATTAAATTATTAACCATCGTTGTGCCAGTAAAATATGAATTTTCAAGATTATTAGAAAAATTTTTATCGTTTAAATTTTGATTTGAATTATAGACCAATGAGTGTGTTGGTTGAGATCCAAAAAAAAAATCAAAAATATTGAAATTTGTTGGTAAATATCTCCCAGGAGGATTGTCCATTTTTATTAAACGTTAAATCTAATTGTGATATTATTGAATCAACAACAAAAATCGTTTAAAACTCTTGTCCTTGTACCTTCTATTCTGGATAACCCTGAAAAATAACGAAAAACAGTCAATGGAAATTTTTTACTGTTGAAGAAAATAAAATTGGTGCATGTATAAATAAATAAATAAGGACAGAAATAAAAATAAAACAAAGATAATGCGTCATAAACTATGACCCCACGTTGTTGTTGTTGTTGTTGTTTTTTTTTTTTTTTTTTTCCCCCTCTAAATATGATATCAAATTTTTTCTTGATTACAAAAATCCAAGAAAACAAATTGAAAACGCACCTTAAATTTTTTATCAATTAATCCCTATCTTTTATCAGTAAATACGTAATCAAAAAAATTCCAGCTATTTAAGTCATTGAAATATTTTAATAATTAATATCATAAGTAGTAATTAAATATTCCTAATTATTTATAACACTGATAGTGTGTCTTACTAACACATGCATGATTATATTAAACACATGTATCTATAAAATACGTAGAATACTTACAAGGCCGTTTATTACAACAGTGCCAGGCGTTGATGTGTTTTCTAAATAAATAAATAGTAGGTTGTTTTCTTTTTATTTTAAAACCAACAATTGATTTAATATTTAGACAGTTCAATTTAAATTCATTAGTAGCGTTAGATTTAATAAATTCCATCGTTAAAAAAGACATTTTTGCACAAAATACTCGATATATCACTTTAGTCAGCCATTTTTAACTCTTAGATGAACGTAAATAACTGAATATGAATGTGAATGTACTCGGTGTGTGTTTTAGATTTAGAACTCGAAATGGCGCTGCTGTACGTCGTCGTCGTCATCATTAATTTTCTCCTTCTCTTTCTTGAATTTTCTAGTAAACACACTAATTTCGATGCGCGCGCATCTTTTTCGACGCCTATAAATTGCGCGCTTTTATCTAGAGACCTCTATTTCCTGTGTTTTTGACAAAATGATCCATGTTGAAAACCCAAAACTTGAATGTTCTCGAAAAATCTATTGTTATTGATCACGTAGACCATAACAAGCACTGTACAAAATTTTGGGGTGAACAACATGATGATGAAAATTAAAATTAAATGATGAAGCGCTACGAAAATATTACCGTGAGTCATGTAACATATATAGTTCACGGAGCGTGACACATTTCTAGAAGAACAAGAATGTCACAAGTAAATTATTTCCCATAATAAAAAATTACATCAGTTTTTCTTTTTAATAATATAATAATATATATACTTTACTTAATAAATTTATAATTTTGTCTTTTTATTCAAAGTACTATACAGACATTTGATTATCTGGAGGGTAGAATAATGATGAAATTAAATATTTAATTTACAATTTTACAATCATGCACTATCTGGTAAGGGAGTTCATCGTACTTAGGTGTCATCATACCTATTTCGCATTAAGTATTTCGCGTTAAGCTGCAATGTTTGTGATGTTTTTTTTTTTTTTAGTCATTTAAAATTATCTATTTTCATTATAAATATTGGACACCGATTCCGAATTGATACTGTTGGAACATGTCATGTCTACCCATCATTAAAGGCATTACGAGATTTAATTCGATTCTTGCTATGCCACCGAGCTTCATCGCTATTCCTGCGCCGGCTGACCATCGTACGTTTTCTGTGAATATTTTTGAGTAGTCGGAATAATCACCATCTGAAATAAATTAAATTTTTTTTATAATTAAAATTATAAAAAAAAAAAAAAATGTATGAATAATATTACTTCAAATAGAATTAATAAAAATAATTATTATTAATTTACCTTTTTGAAAACTAACATTTCCTAAATTACCACCGTTGATAAAGCCATGTAGCCTGAATAAATCACCAAAACTATTTTTCCCCGGTCTAAAAGGCAGCGGAGTATAAAGATGAAGTGCTAAAGCCCAGAATGTATTGCCTCCCATTGCATAGTTGTCACAGTGAGGCCCCAAACCCCGGCGTGGAAAGCCACGAATATTCATTGGACCACCCAGGAAAAATAAATCAGAAATATTTACTTGTAAATCATTACTTATTTCCCGCAAGAATCCAGCTTGTGCTCCAAGTTGAAATGTCTGGAAGAATAATAATAAAAATTTAAATAAAAATATTTTAAATAAATAAATTTTTTAAAAATGTTTACCAAAAATTCAAGCGGCGTCCAGTTACTTTGTAGCATAAATTCATACTTCATGAATCCCGTATCACCACCCAGACCAGCTAATTCGGTGGAAAATGAAACATGACTCCCACCGGTAGGAAATATCGTATCGTCTCTCTTGTCAATTGAACAAATATGCCTCAAAGATGACTTAAGACTCGGACCACACTGTTCACGGACTCTAAATGTAGCATCCTTGGTACCAATTATGTTCCGATAAGTTGCCTCATATTGGAAATTATGCTTGAGAGCTCCCGGTGCAATAGCTACGTCAATCAAGATACCATTGTCTTTTTCTTTGTAACCTGACCAGGGTACATCAGTAGCTGTACTGAACACACTTGTTGTTAGTCTAGAAAAAATTTCAAAAGATTAGCAAGAGTAATTTTTTAGATGATAAAAAAATTAAATAAATTATTTTTTTACATTGTATGCAGCCAATTGTCGACAAATGGTTTCACTGCTGATATATTAATATTCGATGTACTTCTTGATCCGTAGGAATACTCAGCTTGTAAGCGCTCACCACGGCCAAAGATATTTGGAGCTTTTCCTTGGATTAGAACTGAACCTTCATTGTTACCAATCATTGTACTTATTCCACCACTTAAACGGTTCAGTTCTTTTACATTGAATGTTACCTAATAAATAAAAATTTAATTAATTATTTTGTAATAAAATCTCTATAAATATAGATAAATGAATAAAAATTACCTCAACTCCGTCTGGACTTGCATTTGGACCCTTACTCGTATCAATACTGACTCCAATTTTATTAAAACAACCTATAGACTCCAACTTATTCCTAACTGTTTGAGCATGATCAACAACCTGGCGAAAATCTTTAGCTTTGAACAAATCCATCACTTGAGCTTTAACAATGTCATCTTTCGTTCTCACAAGACCGTCGATATGAACTTTGTCTACCCGAATCCTTTGATGCAAATCAATGGTACGGACAACAGCTGCTGGACCAGAATTATCATGTACATCTGAACGTGGAGGTACCTAGTAATTAATTTAATAGATATTATTAAATAAAAATATTAATTTCTCTGACAAATAAATTATGAAAAAAAAAATTGACAAGTAGAAATTTAAAATAATTAAAAAATGCAATTTTTTAGAAATAATTTATCAAAATAAATTTTTTTGTTAAATAAAATTCAAAAATAGCCACTGCAAACTTTAATTTGATAAATTATTTTTATTATTTATTAATTTATTGTCTTACTTCAGGTTGTAATGGATTTGAAGGATATGTTTCAGGTGACATTCGATAATCTTTGGGTATATTTGGTTCCTAAAAAAAATAAATTAAACTTTTAAAGTAATCACTATTTACAGAAAGATAAATTTACAGATGACTCAATTCAAGTGTTTTGATTTCCGAGAACTTGAAATATTATTAGCGACTAAGTTATTCTAAGCGATGTAAAAAAACTAAAAATTATATAGGTTATAATATTATTATGCTGGCGTTAAATGTAAATATGTTACCTTTGCATGCAAGACTCCCATTGTTTAATTTATTTATTTATTTAATTAGTATTTATTGATTAATTACAATGTCATGTCATTGATAATAGTTATTGACGTTTTCGTTAATGAATTTTCAAATAATTTGTCGTTTCCATTCACCAGCAACTACACAAACAAACGAGGTCAACCGGCATCTACTATCTAACACAAGACACACTGTGCAACACTGTGCTCTCTCATAACTTACACGAATTATCATCTGTTGACTGCTGGTAATTTTTTTAGATACTAAAGATAAATATATATGCCGATCGTCTAAAGGACAATATAAGAGATCAAAATGATGCAGGATCACGGTCATCACTCAAGCAGAAAGACACTGGTAGCCTCGCCAGAAGTCGCAATGGCTAGCGAGGTCTTTGATCTCTTCTGTAACGCCGCAACATTAAAATCCATCCTTGGACATTTTCGCCATCTTTGTGATCTTCTTAATATGCGGCCTAATACCTTTCCACAATTTTATCCTAAGTTTAAATCTAAATTGAGATCATGGAAGGCTCAAGCGTTATGGAAAAAATTCGATCAACGAGCTAATCACAAGTGCTATAATAGAGGAAAAGCTTGTCCTAATTCTAGAGTAAGTGCATAACTTTATATATATATATATATATATTTTTTTTTTTATATTGAAACAAATAAAAATTATATAAAAAAAATTAAATTATCAATTTATATACATGACGGAAATAAATAAAATTATATAAAGGATTTAATATAAATAAGGGAATTATTTAAATGGATAAAAAAAAAATTATTTTTAAAATTTTATTCAGATAAATCAATTGAATATTTTTAATCAAGAACAAGATCATTTATCATTTCTGTCAAAGGAACAATTGAGTCGACTTCTTGACCGTCTGGAACAACTTTGCTCGTATCTCTGTAAATATTGACATTTTGACGCGTATCAGGATTTTCTTCCAATTCTTCCAAAAATTCATTGTAATCCCTGTTGAAAAAATTTTATTAATTATTTAGTTAATTTTCAAAGGTTACAAATTAATTTATAAAAAAAAAAAAATACTAACTCATCATCAGTTTCCATGCCACCTTCAGCCAAATGTTTCAATTTCCAAATTCTAGCACGTCGTCTTGCTAGTTTGTCATGTCCGTAGTATTTCTTGACAAGAATTACGTCAGGAATATCATTTGGGGATAATTTTTCAAAATTACTGTCATTTATATTACTATCGGAGATAGCGTAACTATAAAAAAAAAAAAAAAAAAAAAAAAAAAAAAAAAAAAAAAAAAAAAAAAAAATTAATTAGTTAGACTATTTAAAATGATACAAAGGCTATTTTTAATTATTGGAATTAAATATTTTGCTTACCCTAATACAGAATCACCTTCCTTCAAAACATGACCCAAATGAGTACGTGAATAAATATAATTTTCAGTGAGACCAAGCTCCGAAGCTCTTACCAACTCTACTTCTGCAATAAGATGCTGAAAGTAAAAGAAATAAATTTATTAATGACTTCTAAAAGAGTTAATTTATTATCTTGTGTAATAATTTATTTACCCTGTTGGAAATTGCACCTTGTCCTGGGAACACTTTTAGTTCTGAAGGTTTCAGTGGCTCAATACGCATAACTATGTACTCAGTTAACTGTTTTGGATTACAAATGCTGTTAAAACTGTCTCTCCAATATACCGTTGCGCTGACTTCAGCAACTTTAAGTAAAAAATTAATTAGAATATGAATTATAATCAATTTTCCTAACAATATAATTAAAATACTTACTTTGGCCAGATGATACATCAATAAGGTGTATGGTATTTGAAGTTTTATACACTAGAGCTATAGGAGCAATACCGGCTAAGTGATGTGCCATTTTTCTCGAGAGACATACAACACTGTCTTTTGAAATTGGTACAATTTCAACACTGAAAAATAAATTAATTTGTTATTATAATTTGTAAGATGTATTAATTGTTAAAAATTAATATTTCAGTACCTGAATGTAAATTTATAATTATAAATATTACTGTGAATATCATGGGATAGTAATTTTTTTGAGTGTTGATAACGACAAGGTAAAACTGATTGCAAAAAGTCAACGAGTTTTCTCGCAGCACTTTCGTTTGCGTAATAAAAATCAATCCCCTCTGAAATTAAATCAATAAAATATTACAACACTGAATGATAATTATTTAAAGTTATTTTAATTAAAAACATACCGTGAATTGGTTTAATTCCTAGAGTTTGTTCATGAGCTTTGTGCTTCAATATCAATTGCTCCAAATAATAAAATGTTTTTTTGTTAATTGCCTTTTGTCTCACTTGTACCTAATAGAAAAATTAGTTAATAATAATTTTTAAACAATACTAAATGAATAAATAAATAATCATGATAATAATGACTTACAGAAGCACGCCAGAAGTCTTGAGCTTCAGCGCGATGACATTGATCACACATTTGATGATTGATGATAAATTCAACAACAAAAATTTGCTGAAGAACAGTTCCTCCGTGAACTTCTGCATGAACTGTCAATTTCACCCGAACACGCTTGGAATGTGGTTCTGTCCAGACAAAACCAGCATCTATTAGCTTTACTCTATTAAGACCTTTCAATTTTTTTAGACATAATTCCAACAATTCTCGGGATTCCAGAGTAGCATGGACCCATTCATTGGGCGGCTGAAGATATCTAAAATTTTATTAATTTAAATTATTCATTAATTTAATATAAAAAAGTAGTCACTAAGAATTAATTTTTACCTTTCACATCCTCGACAAAAATACAGTGTCGCCTGTCGAGGAATTCCTTCAGTAATGTCAACTTCTGATCGTAAACATGGAGCACACATGTTCGAAGGGTTCGATTCTATCAAAGTTGCACAACGGCAACATAATCTGTCAAATAAAAAAAAGTTTAATTAAAATTTAATTATCCATACCAATTAATTATTTCACAATAATAACAATGATTACATTTGAGTCGCTGTTCCTTGGTGCTCCTCTATGTTTGTTATATACTCCATTTTGTTTTGATCTAATTGTTATTTTTTTATCAAAATAATTGATAGCACAATTTTAACAAAATTAAATAATCCAACGTGATAACATGTGGTTATAAAACCATGCGTTATTATAATTATTTTAGATCAACCTAAAACTCTAAAACTTACAAGTCAGAAGAAAGTTTTTTTCATTAAAAAAAAAAATATTTAATGGAAACGGGACTTACTAATTTGAGCGCCATCTTTCGAACACTTTTTAAAAAATATTTTAGTTCATTAGAGCGCTGTCAGACAATTATATACTTTAGGCGGGTTATACAAATATTTGATACAGAAGTCAGCTGACAGCTGTTAATTTTTTTAATTGTTATAACAAATCAATTAAAATAATAAAAATAACAAGTGTTTTTAATATGAATAAAATTTTATTAACAGATCAACAATTGGATCAAATCTTAAAGAAATCAAACATGTAAATATATATAGATATATATATATATATATTGTAAACAGATATTCAAAAACTAAATAATTTAGACTATCTTCCCCTTAAAATTAACAAATCTTATATAATTTTAAATATAATAATATCACATGGTTATAATAGTATAAATTATTAAAATAAATGAGTATTTTTTTTTAAGGCAAGTGAATTTAAAGAGCAGCCGGTCCAGTTCGAACTGGTGAAGACGGAGCACCGTGAACTTCCAGATCGAAGTCAGCCATCGTAAAAGAGTCTCTCATAACGCGGTTCCATCGATCTGTACTTTCATAAGTATAAGCTCGTCTTCTAATAACTTCGGGTTCGTCTACAGCAAAAGATCGGGAACAAGCTCGTTGTGCTTCATGTTGAATTATTATTTCATTTGTTACGTATGTTTCTCGGCGGATTTTATCTGCCAGTTTGGGGCTTATATCTGGGATGCACCAGCGTACAAAAATCATAACAAGTGCAACAGCGTTCTATAATTATTATTAAGTAAATTAATAAATAAAAAATTAATTAAAAACTGTATAAATAATTATTACCTCGAACGCAACTACAAATGCTAGTCTTGCAGCAAGAATGTGCCAGTATGTATTTGTCAAGTCGTATTTATTGGGAGAAGTTGGTGGTTCGCGAAAATCTGGATACCGGCATATTTCAATATTTTCTTGATATGTATTAATTAGTGGTCTGTGTTCTTCCAAAAAATCTGAAGTATTAAATTTTGATAAAGAGTACTCGAGAAAATCATCTAGAGAACGATTATCGGAGATTGACAATTGGTACACTAATTTAGGGATAAAATTCGATGTAAATGCTATAATAAAAGCCTGAAAAATATTCAATTTTATTAATATAAAAAATAAATTATTTGAATAAATATTATACATACGTTTGTGATGACCGAAAGCTTCGAGATTGAATCTAAAATTCTAAACCAAATGCCAATATCTCTAACTCGTTGTCCTACAGGCCTCCTGTACATAGTTAGCAATTTCTTCGCATCTAATCTCATTTCAAAAATATTATTTATCAATGCAAAAAACGGAGCAAGAGGAAACGCTGCTACAAATATTGTTATAAACCCGTATTGTAAAACTGAAAGTAAGTAAATTTTTATGTAGTTAAAATAAAAAATAATTTATTTAAAAAACTTACCCATTTCCAGATATTCAGGGAACAAACTTCTGGGTCCCCATTCAACAAGTTTGAAATCTTTGAGCCACGGCCACTGTTTTCTCACGATAAATTTCTCCTTTTGTTTAATATGATTACCAGCTTTGATCTGAACTTTCCAAGTATTCATCCATTTATAGTACAACGGAAATAACATCTCCAATAGCGAGTTCATGAACTGTTTACCGATCATAATAATACTTAATTGAATACAAAGTTCAGTTAAACACCCTCCAGGCCCACATTCTTCTTGCCGATATCGAAAGAACCTTTTATAAGTGCGTGGATGTCCCACAAATTTACCTTTAAAAAATGCGATGTAAAATATCGAAGCGTAATAATTAACAAACTGCAGTAGATAAATTTTAAGCGTTAAACTGTCATCGAACTCCGTTTGCGTGCGAAGAAGTTCTAACTCTGTAAGATACTCAGCGAGCCAAACGTAGACCCAGTTGAATAAAAAAATGCAGCATAAATTCAGACAAGCTGCAGTAACGGTGGTGAATAATATAGCATTACTTGTGATGGATGATTGTCCGTAAAAACTTAGGGTTGTTAATACGGACATCCGATATAAAATTACACCAATAACTGCGGCCATAGCTACTGCAATCAAGAGTAAAATTACAGAAAAGCTCAAAATCGTCGCCGGCAGCCTCATGCTCCAAAAAGGAACTTTTGGCTCCGGAGTATGAGTGATAGAATTGATTGACTTTTTTTTAATATGTGCCAGCTTGGCTAGATATTGAGGTCTGGGGTGTTCTTCTTGAGCATCCAAGCCGGTTAAATCCCACCGGTGAGTTATTTCTGCAGAGTACTTTTTCCATAACTCGAGAAACAATGTCGCCCATAAGGACATAAAAATGGCAAAAAATACAGTTGAAGGATTATCAAATAGATATGTAAGTCTTCCATGAAGACAGGTTTCTCTCAGGTCCCAGTAACCGCAAATCTTGTCACACAGAGGACACATGTAAATTGATTTATTACCGTTACAAATATCTTCGCTGGTTTCATTAGTGCTGAGAGTCAGACATCCGTAAATAAAACAAATTAGTCCTATTATACTTGCTGGTACCAGCATGTGCGTGTAAAACCCGAGCCAGGCAAAGTATAGTCCTATTTTCACTCCAAAATATTCCTTTACGTAGTCGAGCGGCTGATAGTGAAAGCATTTCCTCATACTCGCCCAGTGGGTGTACAATAAATACCTCATAGAGTCTGGTGTGTGTAAATTACCCTGGAAAAAAAAAAAAAAAAAAAAAAAAAAAAAAAAAATGAAATTGTTACAATTTATTTTATTTTTCCTATATTAAGGCTCGAAACTCGAAAATTAAATAATAAATTATAAATTTTCTTTTTATAGACTTTCACAATGATTGATGACTGGCGTGTACCGTATACAGTAAAGTTAACGACCAGGTAAATAGTTAAAGGACATTTTAGAAGTAATTATACAGGCAGAAGACCAACTATAGTTAGAAGCGCACCATTGCGGGCCTCTAGCTTGTACTTAATATCCACACAATAGATTTATGTTTGAAGAAATGAGTAATATCCTTGAGGAGGGATTTATAATCATAATATAATGTGTATGCATATTTTGCCTGCGGTACCCATTAACTTAATGGTTAACTTTGGTATGATATGTAGGATAACGATTTATCAACATACTACACAAAGGATAATTGTTATCAAGCAATTTACGACGGTCAACATTTAAATTTAGTCTTTTTAAATTTTCGTATTATTTTTCAGGATCTTTAAAATTTTTATAGCAATCGACAGGCTGAGAATATTAAATGTATACAGTTATACTTAGCAGACGGAGGAAAAAGTCTCGAAAAAAACAGCTGTTCGTCAAAACTTGTATAGACTGTTGTCAAGATCCACAGATCAACCATTGGAGGAAAATATGATACAATAAAACTTACATCGTGAAGAGGGTACGCCGCTACGTAAGCATGTTCAGAAATCAGTCTGTCGACCCCAAATGCAAAATCATCTGCTTTGTTCCTAGTAAACTTGGTACGGTCTAGAATAAATTGTACGATTCTTGAGTGGGTGGCTGGTGAAAAAAAATTCGGAGCGTCATAGTCGAAGAGATATTCTTTGTCACGGCTGAAGACCGCGGTGAAGCGATGCTTTATCTTAGGAAAAATCTTCCTGTCTACGTAGTAATGTTTCATTAAATTATTTATCCAGCCATTGACTTCACGGATTATCGTGTTGCTCGGTCTGGCTGACAGCAAGGGCCCAGTCATTACTTCTTTCATTGGCAGTCTCAGTTTTAGAATTTCTGCATAGCGTCTCAGGACTTCCAAGGGTGCGTGGATCTTAATAAATCTTAAGCCACTGAGCTCTGGTGATTCATACTCCAGCTGCAAGCCCTCCAGCTCCAGGTTTTCTTCAAATGTCTTTAAGTACAATGATATTAAATTTAGATAACGGTAAATATTTTTGGGTAAATATATTGTTTCCTTTATTACCTTTCGAAACTCCGTACATCGCGCTGTCAAGGCCTCCTCGTCATGCTCGTCCCAAACAATGACAAAGTCAATAGATCGAATTCCGTCTCGGAAGTACAAATTTGACGTTTCTTCATGTTCAAGCTGAAAATAAAATTTTCTCTTTATCACTGCGACTATATGAAAAGTAATTAGCATATATTTAATAATTTTAAAAATATTATTTCATTAACAAATAAATTATGGCAAAAAAAAAAAATTAGAAATTTTTTTAAACGAATCTTTTTGTTAGATAAAATTAAAAAATTGTCAAGTGACTGCTAACTTTAACGTCATTGCGGCTATATTTATGATATAGATACAATAAAATTATTCTGTCCTTACGTTTTGACAGCTTCCATCAATTACTGTTTCTTCAGTACCTCTCGCTGTGCAGGAGTCATCGTCCATAGTCATGCGATTTGAATTTTTGTTTTCATTTTGATTATTTTCGCCCTCACTCAAGGCATCTTCATGCATAGTATTTCTTACGCTATAATAAACAGTATGCTGAGATCCTTTATTGAGATTACTCTGAGTGGATCGATATATGCTGGGCGAGGTACTTTGACTTGCTCTATTATTTACAACCTCCGTCTTGTCAGTTTCTTCTTCCATTTATTAATATTATATTAAACTGCAATATAAATTGATTTGTTTTTAAATAAACTCAAGAGTTTACGTCAATTCTGATAATGAAACACCAAGGACACATTAATCTAAAAAATATTAAATTACACTATTAAATTTATTAAAGCACAATAAACTTTTTTACGTGTAATAAAGGAAGCTCTACTCGTAAAATTATTTATTATAAAAATAAATCTATCTGACCCGGACATGGATAACGGCATCACAACCAACAAACTTGATAATAATTATATATGTTTCACTGGATAAAAAAATAATAAATAATCATCTTCGCCTAAAAAAAAAAAAATAAAACAAGTTATCAATTGTGACCTTTTAAATATTTAAAATAAAATCTTATTTACATACAATAACAAGTAAAATCAATTTTAATTGTGTTTACTTACTAGTTATATATATTTGCACAACTAGCGAACATCTCCGCGTGTTACCTACTGACTAATAAGCATATGACAACACAGCTGTTTTATTTTTTGCATTAATTTAATTCGAGACATTTTAGCGGCTATATTTAAATTTGTTAAAACTACAGCTAAGAGATGTACTTTTATTATTTATGTTTTACTTAAAAATTTTTTCAATTATAAAAATAAATAAGTATATTTTGCATTTAAAGATGTAACGGACTTGAAGTTTAATAAATACCAGGGATTTTTCAAAGTATATTATTTGGAGCGTGTAAAAGGAAATAAAAAAAAAATTGAAAGATGTTTTTAAAGGACTTTTAAATGAATCTTGGGTAAGATAGAGGATTTAAGACTTGAAAGGGGCGGTTTGGAAAGCAGGTGCGGTGAATTTAAAGATCGGCGTAGAGGTTTTTCAGTGCCTGATCCTCCACCGCTTGACTATATACAACCCACGTCTGATTGGAGGGACTTTAAATTTATTTTTTTGCGCTCAAGCGAAGGTCTGCAAATTCGTAGTTGTATATATAAAATATAATAGCCACCAACACCTGGTCTCCATTGGCGTCACCTGTACCGTTTCGTTTACCAATACTCATCACGATTAGAAGATGAGATTTTTTACCGTCTACTGCAAAAAACCAGACACATTCTGACGTTTGTAATTAAATTATTATTTATTATTGCTTTATTTTACATATTAAATAATATCAAAATTTATATAATATTAATACTAACTACCATCATCAATTGCAAGACATAATAATGGACATGAATTATCAATAAATACTATATGCATAATTATATTATTGAAAAAAATTAATTTAAATAAAAATAAATTTAGTCTTTGTAATGGTAAACTGTAATTATAAAGAGATTAGTCGATTTGTTTTGATTAATTGGCAATGCTTACACTTCCTCCATTACCAGAGAATTTAGCTCGTCTTCTCCGGGGCACAAAACTGAGTCAATGTTGTACAAAGCCGCGTGTAGTGTTATTAAACAGCAAGAAACACCTGTGAGTAAAATTATTGTAATGTAATTAAGTACTTAAAATTTTTTCTTTCTTTTTTTAACAAGCTTAATTTACCGAGAACCCAAAAGAGAATGGCACCAGCTCCTACCAGGTAGAATAGCGGCAATGAACAAATACCAACTAGCATATAAACTTGAGCTAAAGTTAATTTATGATTTAAAACCATAAGCTCTTGTCTTGCGTGTCTTTGGGATACTTTGTAACAAGTGCCCAGAGAAGCTACCACAGCGAGTAATAACAATGGAGACGTAATTCTAGAAAATTAAAGAAAGGTATTGATCATTATTATTAATGACTAGTAATTTAATTATGTAGTAATGGATTAGAATATTTAACTTACAAACAGTATACTACTAGTCCAATGAAGACGAAGAAATAATTACTTTGGAAGTACTCAATATTTTTCATAACTCGCTTGCTAAATCTACTGACACTTGGAGGAGCGCGGAAGTTATTGGTATTCACAAAGAGACTCCACGGCCTGAGAGTTGCTTTTCGATGCTGGATCCATGCCTGAGCCTGAGGATATCCAATTTGATTCAATGGTAATTGTGGGAGCTTCATAAAGTTGAATCTGAATTAAAAAAAAAAAAATAAATTAATCCTGACGTATAATAGTATGCGCATAATTTAATCCGACTTTGTTTTAATATATCATTGTGAAGATCTTAAATTGCTGTAAAAAAAAAAAAAAAAAAAAAAAAAAAAAAAAAACAAGAACTTGTTTTTCTTTGGTAGCACCTGCTTGATGGAAAAAAATGACAACTTAAACCTGGGAGTGAGGTTAGGTTGGACGTAAACATATGGTATATAAATACAAAGAAAAAAATAATAATATTTTCAGCAATTTACCCATTTGTAGGAGGTTGCTTTTGACTCAGCATGGAGTCATCATCATCATCATCATCATTGATCATTACTCCTATATCTTCTGGGATTTTATTTTCGTTTGTATACATTTTATTAAAACGAATTATTATTATTACAGCTGATGTGGCATTTACTAACTCACTTTTTCAACTCCTATATATAAACATAAAAATATATATACGTTATTTACTTGTCATTGTGTATACTAGTACTGTTATGAGTGTTTAAATGAATCTGATTGTTTATACCCATACCAACTATATAAATACTCTCTGCATTACATAAAGCAGAAAAAGATAAGAGAAGAAGGGGAAGTGTTGTTATATAGTTAGTTTACTTTACATTGGCTCATAAAATTCTATTCTTACGCCTACGATAGTTTTAAATTGATATGACATGAAGAAAGAAGATAAAGCTGGTCAGTGATGAGTCCTCCAAGCATTTTGCCCCTCCTACGCCAAACAAAGCCGTGTTTTAAAACGCGTCTACATCGTCATATAATACGTATGTATTACGTTTAAATAATTCCCTTTGCAGCCCCTCTTATCTGGCATCCCCCATAAACACAACGCAAAGTAAACCCTCTTCTCTACTCGATCCGCGTGCAGCCGCTGTTGCTGCCGAAAGCCGAAAATACCCTCACCTCAGCTCTTGTCTCTTGTACGCGCATGCCACAGGTTGCAGCTGCTCTCAAACCAAACCAAATTTTTTTTTAACATTTTATTGTTATATACCTCTGCTCGTCTATATACTTAACAAAACTTAAAAAACCCTTATTTCGACGCCATTTATATTATTTTATGCTGCTAAATTAGTAATTTAATTTTTATTATTTTTGTAATAAAAATTTTTTATTTCTTTTAAATAAATAATTCTTTAAAAATTATTTAAAAAAAAATTGTTTTTTTTTTTTATGTCTAGTCTGAATTTAAAAGTCAATACAAAATTATACGCGTTTTAAATTTTTTTATAGAAAGGAAGGTCATATTGATTGTTGTAATAAAAAAACTATGAATAAAATGGAATATAATAAAAGTGATCTGGATAGATCGAATAAAAAGAAGATTTCATCGAAAAAAGAAAGGAAACCTTGAACAAATATAATAAATCTAGTTTTAACACACATTTTATATCTCCGTAGTACATCAGTAAAATTTTATACCTGTGAAAGAAGGTTATGTAAGTATGTGAAGGTATGAAATACCTACGGACGTGCCGGAAAAGGACAGTGAATCAGTGTCACGTCTGTGTAAATTTGTAAAGTGTGTGTAAATTTTAAAAATAGTGAACTTGAACTACAGAGTAGATTGTAGTTTCCAGATTTTAAATTAAAGTTCTAGGTGGCGCTGGCGCACGAGTGCCATTGTGTCCGGAGGGCCAATAGCAGCGGTGCTCTTACTATATTTAAAGCAGAACGCGTATATAAACGTATATAAGGAGAAATTCGATTGGTGGATTGTGAATAAGCCTTCGAGGCCTCGTACCACCCGCCTAACGTTCGTAGCAGTTCGTATATAGCGTGCGGTGGCTAATGTTCGATTTGAATAAACGAATAACTGTTAGTTATTTATTTTTGATTTTGGTGAAAAAAAAAAAAAATTATTTTTTTAGTGGATTGTGAGTATAAATAATTTTGGATGCTAGTTATTTATTGTTTGATGCTTGATGTTTTATATATGGATTGATAAATGGAGATGGATGTAGCGCAGAAATTAAATTTCGATGCCGAGGATTTTGAAGACGAGGAGCTGAATATCAGCTGTCGCACAAATAGTTCCGGATGCGATGTTGAAGATCACCTCGATTCTTCTGCCGAAGAATTTTCTCCGTCTCCACGTCAAAGAAAATTATCATTTGAACATTCCATGGATTGCAGTGACAGTGAAAGTAATGCTACCGATAATATTATCGATTGTAAAACAACCCCGGCCGTAATTGTGACAGGTTAGTCCATCAATTTAATGGACGCTATCGACGCATTTGTGTGTGCTCTTCATATTTACACATATGAACGCTCGCTTACACACACTGCGTCATGTCATACCATTTCTAAATAATACGCCGACTATTATAAATTGTTTTTTTTTTTTAACTCTACTAATCATCTTGAAGATATCAGTTTTCCAGGACCATTTATATATATATATATATATATATGTTTGTTTATACGTTTTTTGTTTCATTTTTATAATTTTTTGTGATAGTACTTACGTGTTTTTTGTATTTTTTCGTGATTGTTTTTTTTTTTTTGTCAGTGTTTTTGTCAGTTTCTGTTTTTTATTTGGATTCAAAAATAATTTTGAAAAAAAAAATATTGTGATCTAAAATCAATTAGTATCGGTAATAAATTAATCAGTTAATTTATTGGACAATAAATTATAATGGCCGTTGAAATAAGAAGTAAGTTTTGTGATAATTAGTCTGCTGAAAGTTAAAATTCAACAGAATAATGAGCAATTGATTATCCAATTCGGTTTTGCCAATTTGCTCATAATCCCTGTTCTATAACTAATGATGTTTGATTTACGAGGGCATGGTTCTAACACAAAAGATTTTCCATTAATGCGGAAAAGGGAAAATGTTTGTGTAATACAAATGAATAGTCAGGGTATACAACAAGTGCGACTTAGTGTTTTGAATACAAAGACTCTTGAAGAGTCAATTGAATATTATCCATTATTTACTTATTTTTCTATGTAAATACTCTTTTTTCTTCTAATTATCTGTTTAAATCCATTAACCAATTCCGAAAAATTCAGAATAACACTACAATGACCTGGAGTTTCGGAATTGTTATTTCATCTTAAAGTGTCCTTTGTGTTAATACATATTGAAATATTATTTAGTCAATTTTATTTAACACTTTCACTTTAAGTTGAAATAAAAATTAAATAATTTCAAAAGAAAAAAAAAAAAGAAATCCAAGAGCTTGAGATTTAATCTGGGCGTACGGTTTTAAATTTTTACCATATATATGTAAAATATGCCGGAGCTATGATTCACCACCGATTTTAAGTCGTGTGAACATTCTTTGTGTAGTTTCACCGGAATCTATTTTTAGTTATTCGTCCGCTCAAGAAAAAAAGGGTTTTTTTTCGGTAGATTTATTGCTTTAAAAACTCCGGTTTGTTAAACTTTCTAATCTTTGAGCTGACGATGCCGCTACGCTAAGCCCTTGGATTTCTGCTCCCGAGATACAATAAGGATACGGTTAACACGTTAAGATACTTAAAAAAAAAAAAAAAAAAAAAAAAAAAAAAAAAAAAAAAAAAACTTGTTGTGAACAGCTAAGCTAATCGATGTAATTGTTTTATTTACAGGTCCTATGGGAATTAGGAACCCCTACAGAGAGAGTAATCCTCAGTCAAGAACTGTATTGGCATGTAGTCCTCCTTACAAAAGAGTGAGAGCTCTCAGGTTATTTGATTCGCCAGCAACACCAAAAACTTTGGTAGAAAAAAGCACAATGCACACTCCGGTCCCGACAAAATGTACTAGGCTATTTCCGCCTGATAAGCCGAGGTCTATGTCCTCTGGGTTCCTTTTAAAGCCGGATAAGCCTACGGCTAATGTTAATCCATTTACTCCCAATGGCATGTTAATTACCGCTCGGAAACGAAGCCGGTCCAAGCGCAGCCTCATTGGGTTAGTATTTATGTTTATTATTAAACTTAATCTTTTATTTTGTTTTTTCATTTTATAATTCTTTACTAATCTTTATTATTTTTTTTCTACATTTTAAATACTTTAGATCGCCAGATATAAGGATACCCAAATTCGATCTTACGGATTCCGGAGAGTCAGACCATGAAGGAGAGCACCCGACAAAGCGGCTGGCGCTTCAAGAATCCAATATCCCACGATATCATCAGGAATTCCTTGAAGAAGGACTAATTGGCGCTGGTGAATTCGGGTCAGTGTATAAATGCATAAATAGACTTGACGGCTGTGTGTACGCGATTAAGAAGAGTTTGAAGCCGGTGGCTGGTAGTGTTTGTGAAAAGACTGCTCTTAATGAAGTATACGCACATGCTGTGCTCGGTAAACATCAACATGTTGTACGGTACTACTCGGCTTGGGCAGAAAATAATCACATGATTATACAGAATGAATATTGTAATGGAGGTAGTTTGGCTGACGTTATTGTCAGGAATAAAATGGAAGGTAGATCATTTTCAGAGCCTGAGTTGCGTCAGTTACTACTTCATGTTGCCGAGGGCTTACGGTACATACACAGCATGCAACTCGTACATATGGACATTAAACCCGGTAATATATTTATTACTAAGGAGAAGCCGATGCATTCTGTTAATTACGACTCTGCTGACGATGGTTTCGATGAAGAAGAGACTGTCGAGGAGGAAATAACGTATAAAATTGGTGATTTAGGACATGTTACCTCTATTAATGACCCTCAAGTCGAAGAAGGAGACTGTAGATATTTACCCACGGAAATATTACAAGAAAATTTTTCGCATCTCACCAAAGCTGATATTTTTGCATTAGGTTTAACTGTTTACGAAGCGGGAGGAGGCGGTGAATTACCAAAAAACGGTCCCGTGTGGCATGAAATCAGAAAGGGAAATTTGAAAGAACTACCTCAATACAGCCGAGATTTTAATGATTTATTAAAGGTAAGTTCTTTATTGATTCATTTTTTTTTTTTTTTTATTGTCAATTTGATTGTCGTTTTTATTGGTATTAATTTTTTTTTTTTAATTGCAGTCAATGGTTCATCCCAACCCAGAGTCCAGACCATCGGCACTTTCCTTAATCCAGCATAGAGTGTTATGCCCTGTTGGAAACAAAACCAAAGCTCAACTACGTCGTGAATTGAATGCCGAAAAATTGAAGAATCAAATCTTGACACAACAACTCCAAGAAGCTGCTAAATGTATAAAAAAAATAGCGCCGAATGTCGCAGCCTTTACCAACAACAACAACAACTTGAATTCCGGTGGCTATCAACTACGACAGACAGCGACAAGAGCGTCAACACGGGCTTTGGGAAAGAAAGTTAATCGTAGCAGTAGTACAACTAATTTTTAAATTTTTATCCCATAAGCTTTATTGTTATTGTGATTAAGTGATAACAGTAATATTTTTTGGTTCCTAGAGGTGCCTTTTTGTTGTGATATCTCATTAATTTTAGTTAGCAGGTAAAACGAAGGAAAAATAAGAATTATTCGTAACACGTAAATACTAATAATAATTTTTAAATGATACGAGTTTTGAGTTTACGCAGAGTAAAATCTCGAAGATTATCAGTTAATCAAATTATAATGTAAATTTTAAGTTTTTTTCTTTCTTTTTTTTTTTTTTTTTTTTTTGGCTTTTTAATCATAGAAATTATAAAACAATTTTTAAAAGTATTTCTTCTATTGAACTTTTACTTTTTTCTAAAACTGCAAATCAATTATCATTTTTAAAATTCCAAAATATTGTTTTAATAATTAAATGGAATTTCAATTTTAAATTAAATCATTAATCTCACTTATTGAATCTTATTTTTTATTTTATTCCAATATAGAATGAACAACTTTTATTTTTTCCAACAAATATTTTGAAAGTTTACTTAGCATGCTAATCTTATTAAATTTTAAAATATTGCAGTTATTATTTCTTATAATCTTATCATGATAATATCAATAATTAATCATAATGTCAATTACGTATTTGCATTTATTTAATTTATTTTTTTTTATTCAGATTAAGAAAATGAAAATATTCACATTTATGTCATGGTCAAAGGAACGATTTTTATAAATTTTGTTTCTCAAAAAAAGATAGTAATGAATTATATTGTAAGCACCCCAACAAAATTTATCAATTTATTCAAATTTATTGCGATACACTACAATCACAAGTACATTGTAAATTATATATATTTTTTTTTAGGATTATTAATAACTTTTAACGATTCAAATGGATTATTTTTAATTATCAATAGATCTAAACAGCTAGTTATAATTTTACTCTGCGTATAATTAATTTAATTTTAAAAAAATTAGCATTGTGGCAAGTGAAAAAAAAAAATTAAAATTTTTATTATTATTAAATTAAATTAAATTATTTTTGTAGAATTTTTAAATGTATAATTACTGTTTGCCTACAAACGCCATGTCTATATCTTATACAAATAAATTATATTTTATACATATAGTTTAAAAAAAAATAGTCCTGTAAAATAACCATTTAACGAAAGTCAAAATAATGTTAAGTTGTGTATTTAACTGTTGAGCATTTCACATTCTTTCGTATACGATTTCGCCGACTACTAAAATTATTCTTATTATTATTTTATTAACATTATTATTATTTTTTTTTTTAATTATTATAATTATTATTACTATTATTATTATTATAATAATAGTTACAATTATTATTGTTTGAACGTTTCTATTAGCTTAATTAAATAATTATCTTTTTTTTGACGCTGGTCCACTAAAAACTGATCAAGTTTTTTATTATTTTTATTTATTATCAATTGTTGCTAACTATTAATGAGTACTATAAACAAAATCGTCGCTTTTTATTGTTTATAAATACTTATTTAGAGAAAAAAAAAAAAAAAAAAAACTTTTACTTATTACTGAAAATATTGGACTTGATTGTTTTAATTAATGAAACAAACAATAGACATTTTTTTTTGGTAACTATGTTAGCGATGTATAAAAACCTAAAAAAAAAATTCTAAACACGACATCTCAATTAATTGACTGTATAAAAATGTGAATATATAATGTGGTATTGCTTAAAATCAATTTAAGAAAGTGAATGAACAAAAAAAGTGAGAAAAAATGTACTTGAAAAGGGTAGACCCCTAACAAGTTGCTGCATGCGGCATTGAGCCATTATCAGGCGATCAATAAATTGTTATTTTAATTAAACACTATTAATAATTATCAATATTAATATTATTATTTGATTACTTTATTAAAAAAACAATGAGAACAAATAAACAAAAAATGTTCAAAGCACTCCTATGTCTTTAAATTAATTTTAATTGAACACCTAGTTTTTTTTTTTTTTTTTATATAATACTTTTACCTCCTAACTTTGTTATTTATTTACATTTATTTATTTATAGACTATTTCGACAAAAGTCTGCATCGTGTGTGTAGCAATAAAGGCATTATTATATTATTACGAAAACGTTGTCGCGAGTATTTAGAATTTAATCGAGTTTAAATATTGAGTAGAAATAGTAAGAAGCTAAAATATTTTCTCTTATAGTGTTAACGCGTTTTTAAAAAATAATAAAATTTAATATATATCTTTGCTCTAAATATTTATATATCTATCTAATATATTATATATATATATATATATATTACTTATATAAACCTGAAGTTCTATTGTCTGCATTTACGATTTATCGGATATTGCTTGAGCAAATTTTGCGTAATGCTTTGATATATTTGAGCGTTCAGTACTTCCTGAGTACGTTCAAAAGTTGATTTGGATGGATTCAATTGATAAGTCTTTCTTTTTATTCCTGGTGTGTGAACGAGAAAAGCTCCGTCGAGAATAATCAGATGATAATTCATCAGGCACATTTCTAGCATCTGAAAATAAACCACCATTAATATTAACAACAACAATAATAATAAAAAATAATAAACCTGGGACATTTTTTCCTGACGTCCTTCCCAGGTCATATTTTCGTTGTAAAGAGGATCATCTTGAGTCCCAATGAACACAGGCTCCCATCGATGATGCGGGTACTCCCTGCGTGTGACAATAAGTGGTCTTACTCGCCCTGGGTCTGGCCTGAGGATCCACTTGGTGATACCAGGGAATCGTTGACAGTGAATGCACATATACTTATGAAAATAAACAGCTAGATCTTTATTTATAGCAGCCATTAACTCTCGTTTGTTTTTAGGAGGCTGCTGAGTCTCCTCTATTTCAAACACCGGAACGACAAAAGCCAGTCCCTTGTTTGGAGGCTGTCCGTTGATCATTTTAAAAAATCCTGACGCCAATTTGTCGCTCGGCAGCAGCTCAATGTCCGCTACCAGGACTCTGGTGGTCATTGCGAGAGTTTTAGCGATGTTTCTCGCAACATTTATCGGGTAAGTGAGTCCTTTGTCTCTTCTCTCAGCAACAGACTCCAGGCGTTCCCACTGCAGGTCCAGAGCCGCACAGTCTCCGTCCTCGGGCAGATAATCATCGCTAGCAATAATCGGAATCCGATTTGCTGGAAATATCAGGTGGACGGAAAGCTGATTAAAAGATAATAAAATTAATAAATAATGAATGAAAAAAATTAATAAGAATCTAAATCGAACCTTGCGCATCTCAGGCACACACCGGCAAGCTCTGTCAAGGAGTCTGACTGCTAGGGCAGCGTCTCGACTCGGTGAAAATACTGCGAGACTAACAGGGCCTTCCCATCGCTTCACTATTTCCACGATGTTGTAGACTAAATCTGGGGTCGCGTGGGTGCAGAATGTCAACCTGGGAGTTAATTCTGACTCACTGCTGCGAATTATGAACGGCAACACCCGGTACGGACCGTCTTCCCCGCCTTGCGGGGTAAAACGGACTTTATCTACCGGGTAATAAAAAATATTCGGCAGTCCGTATTTCCAAGCACAGCCGGTATTATTCTTTGGCTTTTCACCTCTCATGTACATTCCAGGTACATAAGCGCGCGCCACCAGCGCTGACAGATCTTCAGCCAGCCTCTGCGGGCCATGTGTTGAAGATGATGATGATGGTGCTTCATCATCTGCCAGCGGAAGTACAATACGACCGACCAGAAGACGCGTACAAAAAAATACAAATACCACTATTCCGATGATTAATATTAATCTACGCGGGTATCCACGCATTCCTTTTTCAATTAATTAAATAATAATTATTGCAAGTATTTTATATACGCGAATCCATCCATGGTCTTGTACTCCTCACCCTTACTGAGCCACTTGTAACAATGCGGATTTTCCGATCGATGTGATTGCAAGCGCAAGTCTCAGGGCCGAAAGTATTTTTCTTCAGTCCCTGCTCTCGAGTTATTTTCCTCGTCTATAAATAAATAACATTAATTAGATTACAAAATAGAGGAAAATACGCTTTAATGCAACGTCAGTCATTATCATACCTGACATATTATTACTTCTCACTCTATAATTCAGTTTTTATGTTTCCGGTGTTCGACTTGATAAAAAGGATCGATAAAAGTTAATTAAAGTCGGCAATTAAGTTTTATCTTCTTTTTTTTTTTTTTTTTTTTTTTTTTTGTTACTCTTCAATCATCTATCCCAAAGTATTTATTAGTAACGTGCGAGAATCATACATGCGGATAATTACACCCCCATAAATGCCCTAATCGATCTTCCTCAAGTTATACCTACCGGTGGATTCCCTCGTATCACATCACCGGGAAGGTGTAATGACCCGCGATCCCCGCGATCCCCGCGATCCCCGCGGTTTTACTTTGATTGACAGAACCATAACACATTTTGTAAAATAATTTATTTAATCTGAAAGTAATTATAATTAATAATAATTAGTGAATTAAAAGACTTGCCAATTAGTCATCCAGCTGAATAAAATCGCGGGTAAATATCATTAGGTCATTGATCAAAACCTATAAGTAAGTTGGTGTAATAAGTCTAAATAATCGACTCATCACTTGTGATTGTGGGGACAGTCGTGACCTCTAGTTTAATAATAAATTCGTAATGTATCATTGCAACCTTTAATTTTATTCATCGCGCTTCAATTGCTCAATCTTATATTGTATTATTATTATTACTTTTATTCATTCTTTTTAATTTTTGTGTAGTGAATATCTGACTGTTGAAAGTCTCTCGACAATTGGTGATAAATAAACGTCAGTGGATTGATGAGCTGTGCTAATTGACAGAACAATTAAATACAGCAATTGTCGAGCCAAGTGCCTATTAAATAAAAAAAAAAAAAAGATAGTGTACATGAATATTATATCTAAATAAGTATTTATAAAACTAGTGTACTTACTATGTGCAATACAATTTCCCGCGATATACCAGAGCGATTACTAGCGCATGCTCCTAACCCCAACGCGTCACAATTCACAATACAAATTTTTTTCTTCATAACTGCCGATCGCTTCCACATTGTTGATGCATGTGATCTTGAGATTGGTGACGTTGAATTTTGTTAACATTAAAAACCAGTGAGTCATTTTAATTTTGTCTGTTAAATAAAAAATAATAAATAAATAATAATATTTATATTTATAAAATAAATAAAATAAATCATACCTAAATATATTTCTCGGTAACTGGAAAATATTTTTAACACGATGAAGCTCGAGTGAGTATTTTAAGATCGTACATTTAAAGTTGGACTGTAATAGATATAATGACTGTTATTACAGAGATAATTTCTTGGTAAAATTATTTATTATTATTTTTCAGATAAATCTTGGTTGTTAGTCATAACAGTGTGAGCAAACGTGTCTATGAACGTACCAGAATTTCCGGCGCCTCCATCATTAGTGCCGATATCATCTTCATCAGCTGCAACCTCTGTGGGGTTGATCAGAGAGCCCGCGAACAAGAACAGCAAACACCTCGCGGGTAGTTGGCGTGCCAATGATTTATCAGGAGAAAAATCGTTCACTCGGGGGATTTCCGTGTCACAGTTATCATCCAGGCCTATCACTGGGATCAGCAGGAACTTACCCTCACGTAGACGTGCGCACCGGCTTGCGCGTATCGGAAACTCGGTACATCCACGAGTTGTCACGAAAGAATCGTCCCGAGTTAATCGTCCACGTGTCACTGAGCTGAAAGTTAGTATGACTGAGAGGCGTGAAGACGACGAAGATGATGCTGACGTTGTTTGTGCATCAGGTATACTTAATAACTGTACGTCACGTTAACTCACACATTTATTTAGCACTTGTATTAAAGATAATTATACTAAACTAAACACTGCTAGACACTAACTAATTTTAATTACTAATTTCAGTACACAGTTGTACAAACTTTGTTTGACAGTTGTCTGCTGATAAAAACAAGTCTTTCTTGTTTTCTTCAATAATATTTAAGCTTTTGATAAATCTTTATTATTTTTATTCATAAATTATGGATAAATATGTCGTTGATAATTTTTTTAGTGATTAATTTTATTTTAAAAAAATGTGAAAATTTAAATGATTCTCAAAAGTGATGTGAATATTTTTTTTATCTGTAAAAAAGTATCCAAGTGATTTATAAATAATACTGTGAATTAAATAAAAATTTTTTTGCAGATATTTGATAATTTTTTTAACAAATAAATTATTTAAAAAAAAAAAATTAAAAATGTAATTTTTTGGAGCAAATTTATTTATTAAAAAAAAATTATCAAGTAACTGACTGAATTAATTAATTATTGATTAAAATTTTTTTTTTTTATCTTAATGTATTTAATTTTATTAAAGTAGTGTTTCGAGTTTATTAAGTTATTATTGTTATTTTAGGCACTCCCGTGTCCTTGGACTCGCGAACTATATCTGAAGACTTGACAATTGAATTGAAAGACCAGCAGACAAATGAAATTGTCGGGATGCCATTTATCAAGACTATTGGAATCCAGACACGCGAGCGAGAAGGTCCTTACTGGTTGCGAGTCTTTCCAAAATTAAAAGACATCATAGAGGAGGAGGAGGAAGGCGAAAATTCCCGGACTTGCTCGAAAATTTGGAAGCATTTACGGTTTTTAGGAAGACTATCCATGTGTCAATTCGGTAGGTACTAACTAATTATAATACATAACTTTATTGATTATTTATATAAATAGTATAAAGTAAACTAATGGGTCGGTGTTATTTAGGTCTCGCGTGGCTTTTAACTTTCTGGGCGATCGCGGGAGCCGCGGCGTTTTACGCGACAGAAGGACCGCGTGAAACCAAGCAAGTAGCCGAACTTAAGGACATGCAGCGGGATTTGGCTGTCGGCTTGGCCACCGAGTTGCGTCAATTAAAAGCCAGTGAAGAAGAAATGGAGCCCCTCTGGAGTAACAAAGTTCGACAGTATGTCGCGAAGCATGAAAAACTTTTACTCGCTGCGGTTAACTCCGGGTACGGCGAAGGGGGTGAGAGCGGAGAACTCTGGACATTTTCTGGTTGTATACTCTTCGCTATATCGCTTCTCACTACATTAGGCGAGTAACAGGTTGTTCTTTAAATATTCACACTTTTATTTTCCAGCACCTGCATTAATATTTCAGTAATCTATATTATTAAGAGAATAAGATAAATTTTGTGTCCATAGTTAATTTATTGATAAGTATTTAGGTAGCATCAAAAATACTCTATCTCTAGATATATAATTAAGAAATGATCTTCTACCTTGTGAATTATTGACATTTTTAAAAATATAAGCTCATCCTGACATTACACTCATCGAGACCTTTCATTTGAGTACCCACATCAATTTTTCATATATTTTATTTATATATAATATATTATATATATGAGAAATATATCAAAAATGCATGTGGGTACTCAAATGAAAGCTCTTGATGAGTGTAACATCGGGATGAGTTTATATCTTTAAAAAAGTCAAGAAAGTACAGTGCAATATAACAAAAATTTCTTTGTTACTTTTTATATATCAAAGTGTAATTATCATTTTTTAAGTTTAAATTTAAATTCCAGGGTTTGGAGCGCCAGTTCCTCGGACAAATCCCGGCCGAACAGTAGCTGTAGTGTTTGCAGCGATCGGAATTCCAGCGCATTTTCTACTAATTTTCAATCTAGGTCTTCTTCTTGCCGTTCGTCTTCAGCAATACGCCGTGCGCAAAAGGTACGGCGCTGATCACGACGTAGAAGCTATTGAAAGATTACCTGTCCCACAATGGGTCAAAATTTTTCCCTTTATTCTGATTGGTGAGTCGAGTCCTACTTATCGAATTTTTTTTATTACAATACAACTCTTAAGCAAATATTAAAAGCAAACATTGAATGTCAGCCGGATACTACCTGCTAGGAATAATCGGGTTTGGTGCCGGAAGGTCAAGACCACTGGCAGCGTCTCTTCTCTTTCCTTTGGACTTCACAGCGGCTGGTGGTCTAGCGTCAACTTCGGGGTTCGTTAGAATAGCCTACGGACTGTATCTCGAAGGAGCTGTCACTATAGCCGCTGTAACAGTGGCAGCTCTTCGTGTATCTGCCTCTGAAAGCCTCGCAAATATCGGACGCAAGTACGGCCTGCTGGTTGAGGCTTAGTGTGTCAAGCAGCGATCAATGATACTGTTTTAATGGTAAAGATGTAACCTTGGAAAAAAGCAATAGCGTGACTAAGATTCCTCGATAGGGAGTGGTCACGCGGACGGTATTACTGTGTTACCTGTGGTGGTGGTTCGCCACCAATCCCATGACAGGTCTCCAGCACAACGGACGAGATGTGACCTCGTATATAAAGACTTAATTAACAGTGATGAACACTGACTTTTATTTATCTAATTAAATTATAATACAAAGTCATTTTTTCTACCAAATATTGTGTTGTTTGGCAGTGGATCAATTTAGATCTGTGCGTGTATATTATGCAATTGTATAGTACTCATATAAATATTGTTTGTTTTATTTTAAAAACAGCGTTTTAATATCCGCCAATCATAAAAGCACATATATTGTATATACACAGGATGTATGCCATCTAAGCGCTTGATGTTACAAACACTAGTAGAAAAGTGTTATTATTTTATAACAATATCGATCAGCTATGAAAGGCTGTGTCAGGGACATAAGAGTTATTCGAACTTTTTGCTAGCTTACTTTTCTCTGTACTATCGGTATGTCACATTAATCAAGAGAAATGTTCTTTATATTAATTAAAATAACAAGTAAAACGGATAATGTAACAAATAACATACGAGACTTTATTTTACACATCTTAAATATGTAACCATTGTCATTTTACTACTTTGCTTATCATACATAAAATTGTTTTTTTTTTTTTTTTTTTTTTTTTTTTTTTTTTTTTATTTTAAAAAAGAAAATGATTACGGATTACGTTATTAATGTACACAATTACTCTATCAAATGATTTTTCAGCGAAACAGTTTTAAATGAATTATTCAACGACTTAAGGCATCTTCTGATTCATCTTCATCTGGTGATCGCTGCTGTTGTCGTCAATTTTTGATTTTTTATTACTGGTAGATTCATTGGTTGTTTTATCAGACGTCCGTTTAACATCAGATGATTGCGACTCATTTAAAGCTTTTCTTATCAATTCTATTAAATTCAGAGGCCCATCGTAACACTGTTTCGTTCCTGATAACATAAAACATTTTTTATGTTATTTTTAAATAAATCAGAGTTTTAATTACCTCATTAGATATTTTTGATTAGATTTTTAGATGTGATAAAATAATAAAAAATACTGTAAGTATAAATTAAATTAATATTTCAGTTGGGGAAAAAACTTACCTAGACCGAGCTATAGTTTACCCAAAAATCACTCGTTTTATTTTATCAAGAATACCATCGGGTTGATTATTTTCACCCTGTACTTCTTGTTTCGCTTGAGTTTCCCCAGCGGAGCCTAAAAAAATCAATTCCGATATTGTAATGCAATTTTAAACATGTTGTTTTATTTTTATAACATCTATTTTTGATTAGGGTAACTCAAGCGATGCCAAGTAGTACATGAATAATAAAAATAAAATAAAAAATAAATTACCGTCTTTTTTAGAAGTGACATTGAAGACTGAACCAGGTGTGTTAGATTCCAACTCCGCGTAAGCCATCAACAGAGCTTTTTGCTGTTCCGTAAGCGACGTTGGTACTGTAATTTTAATATTGACATAGTGATCTCCGTAACCTACCCCGTTTACTTTCCTCATTCCTTTTCCAGATAGTCGAACTTTAGAGTGGGACGATGTTCCTGGGGGAATTTGGACAGTATGATCCTCATAGACACCTTGGATTTTTATAGTTCCACCCAAGGCTGCTTGCGCGAGTGATATCTCCGCGTCTGTATGCACATCAGCTCCGTCGCGTCTGAAGTAACGCGATTTTTCTACGCGGAATGTAATGAAAACTTCTTTTGTTCCAACAGCCATACGAATTGTTTGTCCATCTTCAACGCCAGCTGGTACAGGTACGATTACTTTTTTTCGTTGGACCTAGAATTTTAAATAAAAATTTCAGCAGTTGCTCCAATTACAGTAAAAATTTTTATTAATTAAATTAGAGTCAAAAAATTGCAGTTATAATTTTTCAAACTTTCTAAGTGTAGAATTTTTCTTTTTAATTTTTTTATGTAAAAAAATTGTGACATGTCTGTTAATTTTAAGTTAAAAAAAAAAAAAATATAAGACTTACATTTTGGCCTTTGCCTTGACATTCCCTGCAAGGACTTTTGATGTAGACTCTAGACCCATGACAAGATCTACATGTTGATCTCATTACAAATGGCCCAGTGCTGATAGTTTCCATTCCCGTACCATTGCATTGTTGACATTTAATAGCTTTCGTTCCAAGTTCACACCTAGATCCTTCACATTTGTCACAAATATCAACGACGTTTAGAGTTATTTCTTTGTTGACACCTCGGGCTGCTTGTGCGAATGTCAAGTTCATTATAACCTAAAAATTAATCATTATAATTTTGTACTTTATAACTTATTCTAAAAAAAAAAATTACCTCCTGTGCAGTACCAAAACCGTATTTAGTGTCTGCATAGTCGTCAAAGTCTGAAAAATTTCCCGTTTTAAATCCAGCCTCTCCAAATATTTTCCTAAACAATTCTTCGGGGTTTATCGTAGATTGGAAATTCCAATTATGGTTGGCATATCCTTGCCCTTGTCCTCCTCCTCCTCCTCCACTAGCACTGCCAGGATTGAACCCTGCATTACCCATGCCCATCTGCTCAGATGTCGCACCCCAGGTGTCATATTCTTTTCTCTTAGTTTCATTACTCAGAACTTCATAAGCCTCCGAGACTAGCCTAAATTTATCAGCAGCATCCGGGCTTTTATTCTGATCCGGGTGATACTTTTTAGCCATTTGAAAGTACGCTTTCTTGATTTCCTTTGCGGAGCAGTTTCTCGACAACCCAAGTACTTCATAATAATTAGCTTTAGCAGCCAGTAAATTATTTGTCACATGAAAGTTGCGTTTCAGTGTTGAAAATTTATCTAGACCTGTCAAATAAATGTTTTAATTTTATTATTAACAATAATTAATCAAGTTGAGGTTATAAGCCATGCTTGAATCACGTCAGCTTCTCAAACATTGATAGATCAGTGATATGACAGGTTATTAACCTCACAAATAATTGCGTTTTAATTAAAATCAACTTGACATTGACAGGCACTTACAAAGCTCTAAATGTCAATTAAAATAACCATTTTAAAATGATGTAATCTGAGATATTAAAAATTAATACTTACGTTTATCACTGTAACTTTTGGCCCACGTGTCGACACCAAGAGTCGTCGAGGAAAATAATCGGTGACAGTCATTATTTGTCACTAGATAATCACTTTGGAGTTTATTAAAATTATTATTACCAATAAATCTAATATTTCGCGGTCGGAATATCGCTGCTATTCCTTTGCCGGTCGCCATGATGCCATTAATCCATGAACGCAAATCGGAACATGCTCGAAATTTCTTCTTCCCCTTGTGTAAAAAAAAAAAAAACTAAATCAGCTGTTTTATCTTTGTAGGTAAGTAAGAATTTTCTTGTAATTTGTATATATATATAGGTAAATGCCATTTACGGAAAATAAGTTACAATTTCTCTCCTATAGAGGGGTTTGTGAATTCTGACTTTCGGCAGCACCGTAAGCTTCCGAAATATCAGGAGCGGGAACAATTGATTTTATCCGGTGTGACCTAACAGCTGGTAGATTACCTAAGGTACAAAAGATTGATTCATATTTATATGTAATTACTTATAATTAAAAACCTATTCAATATAGAAAATAATTTATTTCATGAATTATTAAATAATAACCGGTATTTATATTTTTTTTTTTTTTCTATCGTTTGTGCTCGATAAATTTTATTATAAATAACTTGATTATACATAAGTATGTGTTTACTTTAATTGGGAAATAATTGTTTTAATCAATTTTCAAGAGATATCTATAATAAAAACAGACTCAAATACACTTCATAGTTGAGGTAGGTGGACAGTCACCCCTGGTAGAATTATACTTATTGTTTGTTAAAGGTTATTATATAAATTTTTTAAAAACTTACTTGTAGCAGATAAAATAGTCTTTAACAACTAACGCTCTCATTTAGTGACGTGGTGATTGTTTCAGTGGGACACGAGGGATTCTATGTAACGAATGATTTTGGTTTATGTGTGTGTGTTGCTACTTGGAGAGGAGAGTGGATTAAATGTACCTGTAGTAAACTCAACAAACGTCTGTGGGTCTGTGCTGTTTTGATTAAGCTCAACTCGAAAAATTATAAATACGTATTAAATTAATATAAATATAAACAAGGAAGAAGAAAAAAAAAAGTTTTATATAATTATTTGTTAATTTTTCTAGTAATTAATTACGTAATTAAATTAAGAGTATAAGTAAGTTAAGATGATAAATTACTTATTATTCTGTGCAATATCAGCATTAGTTTTATCATTTGAATTGAGCCACGTAACCGGCACCACCAAATTAACACGTATACGAGGTATCCCACAATCAAAAAGTCCACTTTATAATCCGAAAAAAGACTTTAGTTGTTTAGATGGCAGCCGTATAATAACATTTGACAAGGTTAACGACGACTACTGTGACTGCGGAGATGGGAGCGATGAACCCGGCACCGCTGCTTGCTCCAATGGTTACTTTTTCTGTGAGAACGCCGGCCATACACCTCAATACATCACGGCCAGCCGAGTCAATGACGGAATATGTGACTGCTGCGATGCCAGTGATGAGTACGCGTCACCAGTTTCCTGCGTTAACAACTGCATGGAGCTCGGCCGTGAAGCCAGAGCTGAAGCTGAGAAAGCTGCTGAGTTGGTGAGAGAGGGCAGCAAGATCAGGCTCCAGCTGATTGAAGAGGGACGCAAGTTGAAGGGCGAAATCGGGGACCGGCTGGCTAAGTTGAGGAACGACTTCTTGGAGGCTGATCTTATCAAAAAGGAGAAGGAGGTCATCAAGAACCAGGCTGTCGAGAGAGAGTCTGCTGCTTTGGAGAAGTACAAACCTGCTGAACCTGAGCCTACTCCAGCTGACCAGCAGTCTGAAGACCAACAAGAGGATGTCAGACTCAGAGAAGCTCAAGAGTACTTCAAGGTGCTTGACTCTGATGAAAGTCGCAGTGTTACGTTGGACGAATTGCAGTCCAGGGCTATTTTTGATCGGGATCTTAATGGAGTTGTCACTGTGGAAGAAGCCATGTTCTTCTTGGGGCAGGATGAGGTCAATGTTGATGAGTTTGTCGAGAAATCTTGGGATAATATCAAACCAGTGCTGATGAAGGAACAAGGTTTGTATAAAAAATTAAAATTTTGCTTTATTAAATAATGACTTTTGTTAAATTGCACTGTACTTTTTTAAATATTGACATTTTTAAAGATATAAGCTCATTCCGATGTTACACTCATCAAGAGCTTTCATTTGAGTACCCACATGCATTTTTCATATATTTTTCATATATACATATATATAAATAAATATATAAAATATATGAAAAATTGATGTGGATATTTAAATGAAAGGTCTTGATGAGTGTAACATCGGGATGAGCTTAAATCATTAAAAATGTTGATATTTTATAAGATACAAGGTCATTTCTTAATTATGTATCTAGAAATTTTATTAAAAAACCCGATTTTATCATATGACTACCTTGAACACAAAATTTTTCTTATTGTCTTAACAATGTAGATTTAACATCTGGATTTATTTGTATTTATTAATTTAATTTAATTTAATTTAATTTTTTAGGATTGTTCAGAGGTCCAGGTGACAAGGTCGAACATGAAATGCACGAGGAGCACGTCCAAGATGAGCATGACTCTGATGAAGAAGACGATGAGGACGAGCACGACCCCGAGGCGCCTGAAGACATTGACCACGATGAAGAAATCGAGAGACAAGGCGAGGTAGAGCAAATAACCCAGCAACCTCCGGTTCAGTATGACGAGGAAACTCAGGCGCTGATTGACGAAGCGAATGCTGCCCGGGAACAGTACCAACAGGCCGAAAAAGCTGCCCTGGATCTTCAGAACGAAATCAGATCGCTGGAAGCCAAAGTAGAGCGCGACTATGGCCCTGATGTTGTCTTGGCTTCGCTGGACGGTGAGTGCTATCAGTACACTGATTTGGAGTACGTCTACTCGATGTGTCTCTTCGGACGAGCTACTCAGAGCGCCAAGTCAGGCGGTAGCGAAGTCAGTTTAGGTCACTGGAACGACTGGGCCGGTCCTGAACATAACAAATACTCAAAGGCCAAATTTGATAGAGGTCTCACTTGCTGGAATGGACCAGCGAGGTCCACGATGCTTGAGCTGCGCTGTGGTACTGAAAATAAATTAGTGTCGGTGTCAGAACCGAGTCGATGTGAGTATGCTATGGTATTTACCACACCGGCGCTTTGTAATCCAGATTTTGATAACTCAAGTGTACACGATGAGTTGTAGAAATATTTATTGACAACCACTAACTGATAAGAAATCGATAACATGTTTTATAGAGTTTTAAAATGTTGATGTGGACACTTCACCATGGTTTTACATGTTCACAATAATAATAATAATAATAATAATAATAATAATAATTATCATTGTCAAGGTGGATATCATCGAAATTATTCAACTTTTTTGTCTTTTTCATTATTAATAATTTTTTTAATTGACACGACCATAATTTTGAAACCAATAAATACTTTGTAATGCCAGTAATTATTAGAGAATTTTTTAGCAAGTGCCTAGTCAACGATAAATGCATTTACTTCGCAATAATTAAAGAGAATTAAATAAAGTAAATGATTGATAAGATTATTAAAAAAATAAAAGTTATTTCAATGGAAGATAATTCGTTATGAATTTTTTGTAAAATATTAGTTCTGTGGTCGTCTTCAGAAGTTGATGCCAGATTATTAAATTTTAGGATACAATAATTATACATATTAATTAAAAAAAAAAAAAAAAAAAAAAAAAAAAAAATACAAATGAGTACTGAAGCCATGGCACAATTTTTTCACTTTGAAAACATATTTAGTAAATAGTTGTTACTGTCTTTTAAAAAATAATTGGATCACTGTTACATTCCTCTTTTTTACACCGGATTATTTATAGATGTATCAAAGTAAAGCAAAAGAAGATAATGAAGTAATTAATAGTAATAAATGAGTAAAGTAAGTAATAAGTACGGGTCCTGTGATAATGCACTTATTTTCGTTGTAAAAAATTGTGCAAGCGGTGATCCAGTTTTTTTTGTGGAAAAAAATGAAAAAAATAAAAAAAAAACATCTCGTTACTGTTTTTTCAACTAAAAAAAAATGTGTGTATGTAAATTTCGAATAATTAAATGTGAATCTGTTGATTAATTAATTAATTAAGTTAAGTATTTTGTAACTTTTTAATGCATCAGCGTGGTGATGGCCACGTTTGCAGATTCAATTTAAATAAATGAAAATAAAAACAAAAAAAAATAATTAAATAAAGATATTTGTCAAACAGATAATGATAGTGATGGCAATTTTATTTACAATTTCCATTAATATTTATAATAAACATTTTTAATTCAATATTCAATAGGTTTAAATCTTTTTCAATAGTTAATAATTATATTATTATTTTTATTAACATTATTATAATAATTATAAGACTATTTTAGTGATATCATTTTTAAGCTCATGCCAAACTGCATTTTTTTGTTTTACGTATTACATTATTACTGTTTATATAGGTAATTAGGTAACTAATGTTGATGATTGATAACTAATTTAATTATTTTTCGGGATCAGTCCATTTTAGAGACTTAATAAATGAGTTTTAATAATTAAAAACATTTTTAAATCCTCATTTATTAATCTCAAATAAATGTCGAATATTTTTTTTTATTTATTGTGAAATATTTTTTTATATTAGGCCACATCTAGACCTAGTAAGGTAACCACGGTAGTACCGATTTTAATTTTTAATAATAATGATACGTGGTACATATAATTATTTACAATATTCATTAATACGTTATTTAAGCTACACAGTGCGTATCACGGGGTGATTTTTATACACAGACAGCCGATATTCTTTACACATTTTAAATTTAAAAAACAAATTTTCAATTGTACCACTAAACACTACATATATTATTGATTGAACCCTAACAGGTTTTATATATTTGACGTTAAATTAATTAAAGATAATAAATTGAACTCTTAAATTACAAAGTATACAAAATAACGTTAATAAAAAATATTTAAGTTAACTCGGCAATTAAAATTACAGTGATATTTATTACATATTTTGCGCGAGTATTAATTTTATACTGTAAAGTGATTATTTAAACATTAAAGGCAAGTATTTTGTTAATTTGCATTACAGTTAGTTCGTTAATAATCTCCATAGTTACTGATACAAATAAGTATATATATATATATATATATTATTTATTTAAACAGTGGAAGAAAGTTGATTTTCTTCTTTTTCCCGTATATATTTGTAGTAAAGTATTTTCGTTAATGAACGCGTTGTAAATAAACTAAAAAGAGAAACGAAAATAAAAAAAAAAAAAATAGTAAGTGGTATCACACAATGGCTTTAATTTGATCTTACTCTATTCACTTGCCAAGTTTCTCAAACATAATAAGTTTCTCTTTGAAACTCTTAGTGTCTGTTGACACTTCAGATATGTTTCCGTTAAGCATATTCTGCAATTCTTCATCATTTTTAGAGGTAAGCAAATTGTTGAATAGCAACTTATTGTCCTCCTGCTTAACGACAGGTGACGATGGCGGTGATGTCGTAAGTTTTTTCGTAAATGGTACAGAGTTCCGTTGGTTATTACCGTTTACTATTGTCAGCAGCTGATGGATGTCAATATTTTCTTTTGATTCTGAACTTTTACGCCAGTAAGGTTTGTCTGAGTAGTTCAGTGACTTTGAATCTTCCTCCATACCATCAGCATTTTCGGTGTAGTGTTTATTTTCCACTGGCTTCATTGTCCAGGAGCCCTGAATAAATTTTTACAATTAAATAATTATTAAAATAATAGTAACTGGCAATCTTGCAGTCACTATGTGACTTATTAATTATAAATAAAGAAAATTTTGCTTTATTAAGTAATGACTTTTGTTAAATTGCACTGTACTTTCTTAAATATTGACCTTTTTAAAGATATTGTGTGTACTCAAATGAAAGGTCTTAATGAGTATAATATCGGGAAGAGCTTATATAAGCTCATCCTGATGTTACACTCGTCAAGAGCTTTCATTTGAGTACCCACAAGCATTTTTTATATATTTTTCATATATACATATATACGATTTAATAAAATATATGAAAAATTGATGTGGGTACTCAAATAAAAGGTCTCGATGAGTGTAACATCGGGATGAGCTTATATCTTTAAAAATGTCAATATTTTACAAAATAAAAGGTAATTTCTTAATAATAAAATATACATACGTTTTTATCATATTTATCATTAATATTATTAGGTACATCATCATCTCTGGTATCTTGCTCCAAATCTTTATCAAGACTATCAAGAGTCTCAGTGCTATCCGACTTGTTTCGTTTTTCCGAATCAAGAGTGTCAGTACTGCCAAGCTCAGAACTTTCCGAGGACTTTTGCAGCCTAGGAGTCGGAGGTTTCCTCAGCAAACAAGGCCTGCGGTCATAATCCTCTTTGTCATAATCATCGCCTGGATACAGACCTAAAACCGAGTTGGGTATTTTCTTTGGTGGCTTGCGAACTTTCCGGGTCTCAACTTTATCCTCTAGCTCAAGATTATCCGAGCTCTCTGACGAGATGGTCCGCTTGTAGCTTTTGTAATTGTGTTTAAAGTCTATGTTTGACCGACTGGTCTCCTGACTATCAATAGCTTCAAAGTTATCAGTAGACTTGGACACACTCCCCATTTTCCCGTAACTTTTATTGACCCTAGCAAGATAAACATCAGAGGTGCTGCTGATTTTCTGCAACTCCGGCTGGTGATGATCCAGACTCCCAAAGTTATCCGAGGACATGGACATAGTTTTGTGAGTTCTTCTCGGACGAATTTCGAAACTGCTGCGCCTGCGCTCGATCGAGTCATCGCTCACCAGAGCCTGAATCGCCTCCAAGCTGTCCGAGGACTTGGAAACAGTGTCTGAGAACTTGTAGCCCAGATTATTGGGTCTCCTTGCCGGGCGGGGCTCCTCGCGGTCTGAAGTATCAAATCCGTCGGTAGACTTTGAAATCATGTTAGTAAGTCTCCGAGGCATAGGCTTAATATCGACGTGCTCCGCTAGCTTATCGAACCCATCTGTAGACTTGGATATTAAACTTTGCAATCTTCCGAACGTCGGTAGCACCTCCTCGTCCTCAATAAGCTTATCAAATCCCTCGGAGGACTTTGAAAATGAATTATCAAGGCTGTCTGGGGACTTTGATAGCCGAGTAATCGACGTTCGCTTCTTCGGTGTGACTTCCAATTCATCGTAAACGTTTGACAACTTGGTAGTAGTAACCTGACGATTTCCAGATGATTTCCTGGATATATATTTAATGTCACCAGAAGCATCCTGCTGACCTATTGCATCAGTTTGCTCGTTGATCCTGGTGATACTGACATCAAGACTGTCTGGCGACAGCGAGGCCATACTCGAGGGCTTCTTTTTAACATCAAACTCTTCAAACAAATCGGACGTCCTTGATGACATCCTGCTGGAAGATTTACGCATCACTGTGATCCCCTTGGAGTCAATCGGGGTGCTGGCATTGCTGCTGGTTACTGTTGACATCTCCAGACTGTCCAGCACGTCCGAGTTTTCTGATATGGTTGTGATTGTAGAGCAGGACATACTGCTGTTGGTCGCCGTGACTGACCTTCGTGGTGGTCGCCGATTTTTAGGGCGCACTGAAATCCGGTGATGAGCCGCGGTGTGATTCAGCGAGTCGCTCTCGAATTCCGCTGGAAAAATTTAAAGTTTTAATATTACTTAATGCTTGGAGGAAAATTGAGCAATTATTTATATAAAATAAAAAACTTACGCAAGTCCTCCTTTGGCAGTGTAGCAATTTTGTCATTGTCCGGTTGCGTTCGTGGTATCTGTTGAACAAACATAAAGAAATAAATTAATCACTGTAATTTAATATAGGATTTATAACAATTGGATTCACCTGTTGGCTTAAATAATTTGAGGAAAGGGAATTGCGATTCAGGGAGTTTAATTTCCTGATGGTAACCCCGTAAAAACGCGGAAAGATGAACATCTTTCGTTAGTTTCTCCTATCCATTCTAAGTTACATCAGACACAGCTGTAATAGAATATCAAAAGTTGTCTGTTGAGCTCTACTGCTCGTGCGAGTTTCTTTTTTATTCCCTTCTTACCAGGTTTCGTTAGTTTTTGATAACGCAAGACTACTCGCCTGTCCTACTTTATCAAATGATTAATAAAAAATCAATGATATTAAACAATCAACTAAACAGAGATAAAAATAATTCAAAATGATCTTCATACATACAAGATTAAGGATAATGTGTATGATTACCTCATCGCATGGTTCTTTTTGATCTTCCGGTATCCTTTGTCTCATTTCAGCGCGCCTCGATCTAAAGAGCACTCTCTTTTCTTCATCATCAACCACTTTAATGTCTATTTTTCCGGTACAAGAACTCGTTCTCTCGATTACTCGAGGTTCTTTTTTTTTGCCGTCATTACTACCCCAGATACTGATTATTATTTTAGCCGACGATGGAGTTGTAATCGTTTCTTTGATGTAACGATTATTATTATTATTATTATTATTATTATTATTATTATTATTATTATTATTATTATTATTATTATTATTGGTAACAGAAATTTCTGCTGGATAAATTTTCGAGTTATTATTTTCACCAGCAATAATTCTGCTATCAATTTTGACCTCAGGAAAAATATCAACGGTACTTTTGGTCCTGGTATCCACTGAAGTTTTGTCATTGCACCCGTAAACGCCGATTGTTATGTTGGCTGGAGAACTTACGGGTCTTATTCTGACGGTCTCGCGAGTCCGATCAATAAGACGTCGCCTTTCAACGGGATTTAGATTCAATTGCTCGATGATCGCCCGTATGTTCGTCGAAATACTTGTCTCTCGTGACACCACCATTTTTTCTTGATTAAATTTTAATGAAAATTAATTATCAGACAATTAATTTTCACTCTATTCCTGTTCAAGTCCCACTGTAAACGGATCAATTAGATTTCATTGCCATTAAACATTTTATTAATTAGTTTAAATGGTGCCTTGTATCATCACAAGCTTCTTATTAGTTGTTAACCCAGTATCATTCAAATCGTTTCCCACGCGACCTTCAACCTCACCGGTATCAAGATAAATATAAGACAGGAGCTTGTGTGTGTGTTTGTTGCGGTTGACTATTCCAATTTAGTGTTTACACCGGTGTGGGTATTTTATATTCTATCTATCCTATTAGAGGCAGTCACTCTTGGCCGATTTCACACACTCAGTAGCAAATAGAAATCGCGGAAACACTCTATTATAACTCAACTTTACTTTGTATATTTATATATATGTACCAGACAACATATACTAATAAATATGTATATAAATTCACTCAATGATATTTTTTTTTTTTTTTATCATTATTTTATATAAATCATAATTTAGTTTTTTTTTTTTTTTTATCTGTTTTATAACTGTACTTTTTATTTATTATTATTCTTATTATTATAAAAAAAATTTATTATTAAAATATTTAATTAATAATAATGAAAAAAAATCTCTGATAAAAAAAATGTAAATAGAAATTTTTGATAATTTTTTAAAAATAGTCAAAATTAAAATTAATATTGAAAAAAATTATGTTTCATAACAGTACTTATTAATTGCAAAAAGAAAAATTTAATAATTTACATAAAATTAATAATTTTTTATAAAAAAATTACGGTAAAAAGAGTGTACTTAAAATTCTCATGACTCATGACATTTTAATAGAGAAATTTTATTACCTCTTTAATTATATTTACATAATATAATTTTTTAGAATTAACTTATAAAAATACACGTGCATTAATTAACAAAAAAAAAGTAATCAGGCCAAAAGTACAGCTATTTTGTACATAAATAATTTTTTTTCTCAATAATAAAATATGATTATGACTCAGAAAAGTATTCAGGACATCTGTAATTATTAATTTTTCATCAAGGTGCATCAATTCTGGGCCAAAGAACTGCCCACACGGCGCCCACAAACTTTTATTATTTTTTTACCTTCTCCTTTACCTTTTAAGTGCTCTATTGATATTTTCTGCAAGGAGTGTCTTTTTTCCTGGATATTTATTACAACAGATTATAATAAAATAAATATTATCATATATTATGAATTATGATATGTGATAGTAATATTGTATTATTCATATGATGTTGTAACAGGTTTAATTTCAACAAAATAAATCAAATACTCGGTTAGAAAAACAAAACAACTTGTGATTTCATACTAACCCGACTACTTAACGCGAATTTCTATTTTTTTTTTTTTTTTTTTTTTTTTTTTTTTTTTTTTTTTCGATAAATAACGGCGATAGGACACGCGCGTTCGTGGGCCGTGAAGCAATACAAGATTTACGTGTCTCGTTGAGTATTATATACTTTAATTATATTAATATATTTATGTTAAAAACTTGTTCAAATCTTTAATGACGCTAATAACTTTATCTGTTATTTTAATTTATTGCTTTACTTTCATTTGCCAACTGGCCTTTTAAATAATTAAACCTCCTTTTTGGTTATTAAATTAACAGACTCCGTAATTCTTAATGACAAATCAAACTACATAAACATTCATAATGTCTAAACTAATAACAAACATTAAAACTACTTAAACTTAATTCAATAAATACTTATTTAAATCTATAGTGAAACATTACATTCAAGATAATTTAGTTTGAATAAGATTACTATTTATATTTACATATTTACATGACTCAAAGTTAAGTACGAAAGCCTGTCAGATACTTATCACGCAAAGGGCTTTAATTTATTATTATTATTATTATTATTATTATTATCCCATATATTTAGCTGATTATTGTCATAGTAATATTGATTAAACAATTCGTCATTTTATGATTCATGTCCGTACCCTTGACCCTTGTTGCTTAAATTATATAGAGTAAAAGGGAGTTACTCCGACATAAAAGCTAATTCTTCAATTCAATAAAATAATTCTAGGTTGTTGAACCATTGACAGTAAATTTATACACAAAGAATTTCACTTTAAAAATCATCAACATTGTTTGCAATTATTAAAATATTAACATATATAAATTTCTTTAACAATAAATGAAAACAAAACAAAAGTTATTATTTAAAATAATTAATTTCTTTGAATAGATTAAATTTTTATTGCTGAAGAGAAAAATTTTATTGACTATTGAGTAAATGTTAATTTTCACTCATACTGTTTTAAATAAATAAAATATCCCACTTGCAAAAACAATAACTATTTTTCAGAGTTATCAACTATTTTAATTCCGGAAAATCGCGTCAAGATCACGCAGTATCTTTATCTAATTTCACTAGAATTAATCGCCGGTTGATGGATTCTCGTTATCACTGATAGCGCTAATACTCTAAGCCAACAAAAGAGTTTATGCTATGAATTAATAGAGTGTATAAGAAGCTGGTGATAATACAAGGTGTCTAAGTATACTGATGGTGATTACTGATGCAAGAAAACGACGCTTCCGTGACCTGCATCTGTTCACTGATCCAGCAAAGATAAAGGAGCAGAATATTTTTTTTTGTACCACTAGGTCTCATTTTGCAAAACAAAAATTGACCTGTGGATTTAAATTTCCGGAACTCACTGATAGTAAAAGACGCTATCACTAGTAATTTTATTGTTTAACTAAACCAGCCGATCTGTTCGGTAAGAATATCACGAGGTGAACTGTCGCGTTCTGGCAAACGACTTTTCCAAGGCAATAGAGACAAGAGAGGGGACTTACTAACTCATGAAGTAGAAAGGGGCTGTATTACATAGAGTCGAGAGGGTACCGAGTCTACACCAACACCAACACCAACACCAGAGTCATCATGGCTGGACTATTTTATTTTATCGTACCACCGCACGGACATAAACAATAAAAATGAAAAATAAATATCTACGCGAGAACACTAACGGTCTCTTAACTCTGTCCTGTCTGGAATAGTACGCTAACTACGTTTGCCAGCTGTTTAGCTCCTTGGTTGAAGGTATTGGTGTTCCTGGGCATACCCACTCTATTCTACCTCGGCTCTATCCTATCTCTCCACACACACACATATCATCAGAGTAGAGGCTCTATTTTAAGTGTGTGTGGTGATACAAGTACGTACTAGTCTTTTACGCCTCCAACATTCTCCTTAACCACCATCGTGGTTACTATCACCATCACCACGTGCCATACTTTACTTTTCCCTCTTGACAGTCATCAAAGGTCTTTCGCAAACTCGTACCACACGCCTGGATCTGCAATAAGTTGTTTTAGTAGACTTTTCATTATTTAGGATTTAATACGCAACACACATGCACGTATTTTTACGTAGACTCATTATATTACACGTCGCTTCTCTTGGTGCTGGTGCTGGTAATTTTGCCACCAAGTTGGTGTGTGGATTTAAACCGTGAGAAGGCTAACGCAAACCGTTGTAATTGCTAGGCGTGCAAGCCTTATTTTATTTTGCACTGTTAAATGTCTCGGCTTCAATCCCACTTGAGGTTTCATTCAACGGTTTATGGGTTTTACGTTGACCCACTAAAGGTCCTTCAGATCCAGGTACAATTGCTCATCCTAAAATTATTGTTTTTACTTCTTTTCTTCAATCACCAAAACTTCATCAGTAGGCTTCTTATCTTTTAATTTAAATTGAAGTTTTAATCATGATCCTTGATGATTTTGACTTGAAGTTACTTTCTTTTATATTTTTATTTTTTATACATTGTTTTTTCTTCTTAATTAGAGTTTCTGCTTAATTTTTATGGTTAAAAATATGAAAAAAAAAATCTACTAGGCATATTTTATCCTTGATAATCAATCAGATGATTAAAAACTATTGAACAAAGTGATAAATGAGGACATACTAGGCATATTAATACCAAAATTTAATATTCTATAATTATACTGATAATTTAAAAGTTAAAATTAACAAAAATTAAATTAGATATCTAATTAATTTATTTAAAATTTTCTCTTATTAGTTAAAAGTGTCTGAGGATTATTAAATTATAAACGGCTCCTCAAGTCTTGAGATGATTTTACCAGGTGTTAGTCTTAATCCCGTTGATAAAGTAGTTACTTTCAGTCGCTTGATGATCCTCAATTCGCAATCCACCTCGGCAGGAAATTTTATTATCAATGGGCTTGCAGGTAAACCGGCAGGTGAAACGCTGGATGGCGCCAGGTGCTGGGAAGCCCCGAGAAGAGAGTGTTGTGTTGGTTTTATAAAAAGGTGCTTCACAAATAGCTGTCGAAAGAAGCATCAGGCCAAGTAACGGTAAATTTATTTAAAACGTTAGCTCGTAATACTCGAGCATACTCACATGGTTATTTTATTTTAAATTAAACATCTCTACTCACGATCCTGACTAATTACTCGCTAATTTCATTAGAACTTGGCCTTGACTTGGCCTAGCGATAATTGTATTACCTTGTCTTATAATTAAGTCTACGATTACAGCACATACATCAGACTCCTCTCTATTCTGCCTTGCAAAAACAAATACAAGAAACATAATTGTTCATTATAGAATTTTATCTCACTAATCTAACGGAATGCTGTATTATTATATGGCTAATAATAATATAATATTATTAGAGATATGATTATTGTTTATGTCAAGTAAGAGGACAAGAACCCAAACTGGTTCCGTAAAAGGGATCACTCTGTCGTTAGGACTCCATTGACCTGATTCTGATCTGAATTCATTGCATATTAAAATACGAGGATTGCAATAAAACATTTCAAACAACACACTATTGCTTTGCTGCTCTGGCTTTTTTCGGAAAACTCGTTTACTAAAATTCAACACACTCATTATTAATACTCTTAACAACTTCGTTTTAATTTTTCAATCTTAAATTGCTTAAATCTGAGGTAGTAAATGTTTTTTACACTCTTTTATAGCCCGAGTGTAATATATACTTGATAATGTAATCAAAAAAATAAAAGAAAATTGTCAACAAAACGGATAGGAGAAGAGAACGAACGGTTATTGCCGTTTTGGCAATTTGTTCGATAAATGACTAGTGACTCATGGAGAAAACCGGTTTGTTCAGTTTGTTGATATCAAAAAAGTATCAAAACTTACCCTGAACTTTTCCTCCGGCTCTTCTCTATCGGTTCGTTCACGTTTATCTGTACGGCTGAAACGGCTCTGCAATCACAATAGACCTTTTATTATTCATCTCGAGTTAATACAAGCATACTGCAGAAGTAGCAGTTGTTTTTATTTTTATTTTTTTTTTTTTTTCATATGTTTAAAAAAGACTTGAAAAATTAAAAATAGAAAAAATTTCTTTACCCCCATATTGAATTTTTAATTTAAAATCTCAGAATATTTCAACACTGAATTTATCAGGTCACTTGCATTTAAATAGTAGGCAAAGCACTGGCTCTATATCGATGACAAGCACTACAAGTTCTCAATGGTTCATCAATATTTATCAACTCCTGTGAGGCTACAAGAACCACTATGACTAAATTACTCTCCACTGGATAAGATTTTATTTAAATGATTTATAACTTACTCTATAAATTCATTGAACTTTAAAAATAAATCCCAATATTTAAAAATATAATAGCTAATAAATAAATAAAATTATTTTAGCTCTTAGCAGACCGAGTTATTTAATGAATCTGAGACGACATGCTCAATCGTGTGGATAGAGCGATATCATTTTAATAGAATAAAAACAAGCAAAGCCGAATGTTACACTCGGTGCGGTATCTCACCTCACTAGTTTCCTGCTGATAATGTTCCCCGGAGGCCTGCAACGCAAAAAAATAACGTGACATCATTTGAAGAAAAGGAAATGATGACTTATAAATATATTAGTTTTGTATATATATATATATATATATTTTATAGTGACATTAATAAAACGCAGTTAACAACAACAATATAGTGTATGAGTAAGTAAATGTGTTGTACTTGGTGACTCGTCAACCGCGACGTTTCGAGCCGAGAAAGAAAGCAACGGTAAAAATTGATGTGTATCGTCGCAGTACTTGTAACATAACAGTATGTATACATCATATACATCATATATCAGTACACACACACATATACTTGTAACCAAAGAGCAGCTTGAGTCCATCTTATCATCTTCTCTCCACTATGATTTTTGTCTTTACTGCTTCAGTTTATTGAGAGTACTTTTTATCATTATTATTATGCTTCAACATTAACACAAGTATCGCTAAAATTTAATCTACTCACAAGAGGAACGTGCGTCTCCGCCGATGCCAGCTGATTCCTACTCTCTATGGCAGTCTTAATTTGCTCCAACACCTGCATCAATTTATAATTCATTGTAATTAAAAATTTTTTTTTATTAATTATTAATGGAATAAATTAAAGGTTGAACTTACTCGAAGAGATATCCGATTGTTGGAAGCTCCATGGATGCCATGGCTCTTGTTAGCTTCATCATTTGTTTTTCCCTGTCGTCTCTGTAAATAAAGTACAGTAAATTTAAAAAGTGTGTTGTAATTATTAAAAAAAAATATATTTCTTTTTATTAAAATTTATACAAGTAATACTGAGAGAGGGTAACAATAGGAAAGGAGTTGTGTTTTTAAAATGATGAAACACATTTATAAAGACTTTCTTGAGACTATCAGGTTGGAACGCAGACGCTTACTATAATGGTGAAAAATTAATGAGGAGTGCTGTAGATTTAACAATGATTTTATCAATTTAATCCTGGCTTTTCATAAATCTTTTTATTATATTTTTTTAAAATAATGGTGAGTATTCAATTTAAAATAATAAAATAATAACAGAGTTGGTCTTTTTATTTTTATATAATTATATTTAATTGTAAATTTTAATAACAAATTTTTTATTTTTATTTTTAAGATAAAAATTCAAAGCGAAAATTGGCGAGGTATTTAAAGGATTCGTGTTGAAGATAAAATTAATTTAAAAATAAATTGAGTAAATTTTATCGACAAGAAAGTCAATATAGTGATTGTAGTAGGTTTAAAATATTTTCGAGAATGAATTTTCAAGACGTCGTTCTCGGTTAGTACGCGAGCTTTACGGTGATTCTATTTCCATCGTTGACCTTATTGCTTACCAGAAATAGTATTTGCAATCCAGAGTTTCTGAAGAAAGAGACGAAAGAGAGAAAGAGAAAGAGGGTGTGGAATGTGCAGTAGATTAATCGGTGAGTAAAAAATTTAATTTGATTTAGGTGAATGAAAGATTTAAGAGGAATTTTCGGTGATGAAGGTAGTATAATATATGTATAAGGAGTAGAATTATAAAAATATGAGCATGTAAGAAAAAAATGACGTACTTGGAATGTAGCCAAGGTATCTAGAGATGAGAGAGGCCGAGTATGAGGCACCTCCCCGGGGAAGACACTGTCGTGAGACACTGAGAGTTGACCTGAAGCACCTCGGAGCTTGGTAAACGTCTCTTGTACGCCGCCTCCTCGCCTGAGGAACCCACTGGAAAAGCCAAGGAACTTCGTTAATAAAACACAACAGGATATATACTTAGATATGTGGTATGCCACGAAAAACAAAAGTACGAGACGATCAAAAGGGCAATGTACAAGCGCCAGACACCTCACGATCCTCCATTAAATAATCTATAGATATAATACCTTTACACATCTATATAATGTACGTACGCGAGTATACGTGGTCTACATACTTTGCTTATGGCGAGCACATTATTATATATGATACACTAAATTTACTTTATACACAACATCGCAAACCTTTTTATTTTTAACGCTAAAAGCTTACAACTGAACGCTCGCAAAAAAGTTCTTGAGAACTAAATGACCAACTTTTTTTATTTTTTATTAAGTATACTCTGATGGTTTATCATGAAGAATGTAAACGTAATAAAAAAAAAAAAAAAAACAATGAAGATACAGAAGCGTGACTTTAATTCAATAAAAATTTAGTTGATACTTCAGCAGTTTTAAGAATCTATTTTTTTATCTGGGTTGTAAATTGGAAAATGCTTCACTGGAGTCTTCGATTAATGATCAAATTTTTTTACTTTTAATAAGAATAATTTTAATTGTTTATTTTTAATTGATTATTTAATTTAGTTAAAATAAAGATAGATATTGACATTCTTTACATCAACAAATTCTTGTCTAGCCAATTTTTTTTTTTCTCAGCGTAGTTTCTGATAAAAATTATTTCTTGAAGTTTCGCTTCAGTATATTCACCGTAAATAAACCAAAATGATGTATTTACTGTTTATTATATGATTTCCTCAATGATAATCTGTATTTTTTAGCCCAGCTCATAGGCCGTTTGCTATAAAAGATAAAAATAAAATGAATGAAAAGAGTTAATAAATTGGAAACGGGATTGAAAAAAGACTAAAGTATAATTTAAAGGGAGATAAAAAAAAGTCACCTTTGACAATCGCAAGAATCAGTGAGTAATTCACTAGCACTTTGGCTCCGAGCGTCCTCAGTACGTCCAGCTGGATGCCTGAGAGTCATGTCCTCACGATCGTGAGTCACTGGGTCATTTCGATCGTTGTGAGAATCGAAGGCGGCATCAGCAGCACTTCTGCTCTTTCTTCTGAAGATTCTTCTCAGCCCGCGGAGAGGATGAAAGCGTCTTTTCTTTGGTTCTGTTAGCACGAAAGATTTAAATTAGTATCAGCATTTTAAGTTTTCACAAATAAATACCAGGTACACTCGAACAATTTTCCTTACATATTTGATTAAATTAAAATAAAATAAAAATTTATTCCTCCGTGATTACGATGATTAATTGAAATGAGTTCATGGCCGATTAATGTTAATTAAATAGAAATTACATTGTGGAATTCCTAATAGCATTAAACTACTAACAGAGAAAGCTTTAATTTAATATGACCGAGAAAATAACCGAGCGAAAATCTAAAACACTTTCGTTGTTTAATAATTGTAATTATTTTAAATTGTTTGCATTTTTTTTCTTTTTTTTTTTTCAGAATTTATTTATGATATATGGACAGTAAATAATATTGGTTATATTTTATAATGTATAGAGAGGATATTTCCATAGGAGAGGCATTGATTGGGTTACAAAGGTACGTCAGTGGTGATTGAAAATGGATGAACGATCAACGATCAACGACGAACACATTTCCATTTCGTCCGGGTGTGTATCTAGGTTAATCAAACTCGCCATCGATATCAACGTCTGTCCAATTCCCATGCCCACGACGATCACAAATGGATTTTCCAGCCGGCTTAATTAATTCGGTAATCCAAATCATAAAAATAAAATTTTAATAAGTTATACTATTCAAATTTTGATAAAAATTTTACTTTTTCACTCAAAAAAAATTTTTTTCTTAAAAAAAAAAAAAATAATATTATTACAAAATTGTATCCAACGCTTTGATTTGTATTGCCCAAGTTATTATCAGGTCAATGCAATTATTTGAAAGCTAATTGTCAATATTTGAACGCTAATTTAGAGGTTTGTGTTTGGAAATAGATTGACTATAGTTATTGTTGATTGCGACATTTAAAATTAATGACTGTATTTACTTTTCATTGGATTTATAAAAATAACTGCAAGGAAACTTGGAAACTTGGATTGTAGATAATATCCTTTAGAGTTTTAAACTGAAGAAATGAATTATTAAATAACAAAAGTCGGGATTTTAAATATTTTGAAGAAGCCTTTTCAATTTTAAAGCACCATAGCCGGTGTTTAGATACTATACCTATAGGCACTGAGCATTGTTGTGTCCCTCAATGGATAATAATTGTAAGATCGATTGCATGGAGACTAGACGGTGAGCATAGTTGAGGAACAAAAGAGTTAGCGCATGCAGCAAATTGCAAGCGAGATGAAAAAATACTCTGAATGAAAGGGAGATATATATTATATATTTTTAGCGAGCAAAGCCGAAGGGCTGAAGGATGCTGGGATTAAACGGGGATTGCTTCCAGCGACAGCGCAACATCACCAAAGTAAGGAAATGAGGGAAAAGTATTGCGAAACAAAAGAACAGATGAGATGAGAGACAATAATATATTAAAAAAAAGAAATGAAGAGAAAGGTATCGAATTGTTACAGAGTGAATCTTTAAAGACTGTTGAATTTTTTTTAGATTTACATTCAATGCTTTTTATAATTTTATTGTATGCGCCATTTTTACGCGACACTATTTATGCTTTACGAGTATATAATTATGTCTAAGATTAATAGCTAGTTGATGGCTGCTAAATTGCACAATCATTTTTGTTATTTATAAAATAATAATTGCCTGCAATTACATTTAAATTCTAGACAATTTAAGTTAAACTAAACAAACAAATTTTATTTTATTTTAATTTATTTGATGGGAAAAAAAATTACGAGTTGAACATTGTTATTTTTGAACCGTAAAATTGAAGAGTTTTAATTAATTGAAATTCAAGCGGCGGCTGATGGAAACACAAAATAATACACAGTTACATCAACAACCAGGTTACTGATAAAATTAATGAAGGGAAGGGTTTCGATGGGAAGGGAGGTGTGCAATAAATATAATAAAATGCAATGATTTCAACAGAATACATGAATGTGAATTTTAAAAATTATAAAAAGTCTAAGCATAAAGATGTGTATCCTTACATTGCATAAGAGAGTGTAAATCTAAAGTGAAAGTATGTGACCTGACAAGAGAACTAAGCAACAAAGTGAATAAAAAATGAAGAAAGAATAAGAACACATAACGTGACATACACGAACGTAAACATCACCACGCTCCTTGATTCGACCTTAATTCAGTCAAGTGCGTACTAGTCAATCATTTATCCGTAAACTGGAATATGCATTGTACGTCTATCATATGTGATACATATCAATCACTAAACTAAATCACGAGATACTTTCTGTAGTATTGTATATTAATTATTAATTATTAATTATTAATTATTTTTTAATTTAAATACTGGACGTTCCAGTAACACATTTAAGATCCATCGATCTCTTTTTGAGCAACACTCTTCATATTGTTGGATGTTGTATTGTGTTTACGTTCAATAATAAGCAAAAGTGACTAAGTCCTTATATAAATATAAATATAAAATATATAATATATTGTCTTAGCAATTTTTCTAGGTGTTCAAGTGACCTAAATTTATAAAGATAACAACACGCGGCTTAACATTTTACGAGTAACTCGTTATATAAGATATCGTTTTAAATAGATCCAGTTATCATTTAATCAATTTAAGTTTAGAGTAAAAGTTTGATAAGAGATTGACTATCCCCGAAACTTTTTACGATTTTTACATTCAAAAAGTTTAAAAATTTACCAATTGATTGATTTTTGAGCTAAAAATAAATTCTATAATTTGTTTCAGGCTCGTTTTTTTAAAACTCAAATTTGATTTTGATATTTATTAATTAAAATTTTTTTTATTCATTTTTAATAGCTAAACCGACATTCTAGAGCCTAAAAACATAAAAATCAATTTTTCTTTCCAAATCTTGCTATTTTTTTCATTCAAATAATTAATTTTTCAAGAAAAAAATAAAAATAATAACAATATAGACATTTTAATATTTAAACATACCTTTAGGAAGTAAATCCGCATGACGTTGCATCGCTAAATCGCCAAGATCCAGCGTCCGATGATTTTGAGGCGGAGGTGAAGCCTCTCTGACACAACCCATCAGACTTAATGCACCTCCTACACCTCCAGTAAGAGTACTAGCTCCACTGTAACTGGTCGCACTGGCAAGACTGTTGTTACCGCTGGCACTGGACATTCTTCCAGTCTGAAACACCCGAGAAAACCACAATGCAATGTATGATTCTTTAACGCGCTCATACCACCCAGCAATTAGCCAACTCTTTTCCGTTTTTTGCCCAGCCCAATTTAAATTACTTTCCATTTTTACAATAAAATCCAAAAATTACAAATTATTTTATTATATTATTTTGGTCTGGAGTCAGACGGAGATCAAAGTGGACCAGAAGAGGTTACTATGGAGACTGCAGCAGCCGAGGGTAGGTCGACAGGCATCGATTATGCGACCCTGACCTTGCTAATGCACACAGCTGACTCTGTACGCGGGATAGGATCGTCGTCTACGGTTTACTTACATTATTACTGATGTGCGCAAGCGGGAAACCCAAGCTGGATGAACCTTGTGTGGAAAGAAGGGATCGCTACTGCGCCTTTTCTCCTTTTCTTCTATTTATTACATCACAGATCACATTTTCCACGTGTGTCTGCACTGATAGAAGGATTTGTTTATAGTTAAAAAGATTTGTTAATATTTAATAAATGAATATCAGATTTATTAAATACAAATAAATCATTTTAAATACTATAAGAAATATTTGTTTAATACTAAAAAGTGGTCTCTAATAAATGATTTGTTAACTATTAACAAATATTATTTAATACAAATAAATCCTTCTATCAGTGTGCTGTTATATTATTCCCGATTAAATTCCGCGATCCTATTTACCTTTTGCGTTTTAATCTTTACAATAATGACTGATTAGATGACTGATGACGCGTTTTTATTTACGCTGTTACGCTTCACTTTACATCCTCAATCGCACTCTGATTATTTTCTGCTCATTCAACGCGATCTAGCCTTGCAATCATTTGAATTAATCAAATAGTGATTAATCAGTCTGATTGTTGTAAAATAGAGTTTAATTAGAATTTGTACCATTTATAAATATATACACATAGTTTGTTAATTATTTAACCGGTTAAAAACACCCTGAACAAACAAACACCGCTTAATTAAATTTCAAGATTTATCAGTTTTAAAATATGTGTTGAGCTTGTATAATAACTTTTTTGTTTGAAAAATAATCACAAGGCCACATGTGCCTGTCGATACATGACGCACAATATCTTGTTATCTATCTATACATATAATACTTTACTCCCAAATGATTAGGTCACTATAACTAATAACTAATAAATAATAATCAACAACTTTTGTACTTGCATGATATCAATAAGTTATAACTTGCGTGACTAACTTTAAATTTTTAATTAACTCAAGAATAAGAGTATTACATGTTGATTGCTAATAAATAATTAAACATAAGCTAAATAATTATGTATTCAAAGACGGCTAAGATTAATTACAGAGTTGATAATTAGATCTATGTTTAATATTTTATGTTTTCAACGCGTTTGATAAGCGACACATCGTTAATCGATTCTATCGATCTAAATTCTTCGCTTATCAAGTTTTAGTTTTAGTTTTATTATCATTTATCGAGATGTCATTTTTTTAATTCTCTTTTATCTAGTAGGATCGACAAATTTATTTCAATTATTATAAAAATAGAGTGTAATTAATTAATATTAATGTACAAGTATTGAAAATAGTCCTTATATATTTTATATCTATTTTCAAATTAATTACGGATAATTATTAGTTAATATCAAGGTATTTTTTATGTTAATAATTAATTTTTCCAGAAATTAATTGATTAAAATTATTAATTTTAAAAAAGTTACAATATTTCTAAGTCTTTTTTGTTAAAAAAAAAAAATTTATAATTAAATCAAATATGAATTATAAATAATAATAAATAAAAAATTATATAATAAATGAATTACCTTACAGCGAGAATGGCATTTCATATGTGTAATATGCATTCACATCAACGAACTGCAACAAAAAAAAAAAAAAAAAAAAAAAAAAAAAAAATAAAATAAAATTAATGAAAGCATGAAAATAGAAACTTGAATACCTACTTAAAAAAAAAAGATCAAAGGTTAACTGGGTAATGTGTGAATGAAAATGATCTGTAATGCGTTCTAAGCTCCAAGTTAAAAATATAAAATATCCATTACTAAATTTTTATAAATACATTAACGGAAGTTGGTTAACAAAAAAAAGAGTAGAAAAAATAATCTTGCGCCCTTCGAACCCGGATATATTCAAAAATATATCCATTTAATTAAATATAAGATACTTGGGACTAATTTCCCTCTACTTGGACGAAAATAGAGCGACGAAATAAGAAATAAAGCAGTGACTATTAATATTTCTGTAACATTTTATTTAACCACGTACTTGTAAAGATTTATGTAGACCGACTCGTCAAATTGATTCTCAATGGTGTATAAATAAACCCACGTAAATAAATGATGCTTTTACAGGAAGTGAACTGACGAGAGGACGAAGAAGCGGAGGCTGAAGAGCTGGAGGATGCAGCGGCAGAGGAGGAGAAGGAGGAGGAGGAACAAATGGTTAACGTTTTACTGGAGAGTTTAAACAAAAGACGCGTACAAGCATAACCACCGAGTATCAGCAGAGTATCAAAGTGTAAGAGCACGCTGTGCTCGTTGACGTAAACAGTTGGAAAAATTTTCATCCACTTCTGCATAAATATGTGTATGAGTATTTTAGCGCACAATCGTGTGTATTTATACGACAGTCCCACATTGCGGGCGTGACAAAGCTATGACTCTTTGCGATTATAAAAAATAGGCCAGGGAAAGACTTTCATATATAAATATATATAAAACAAATAAAAGTCCCGTTTGTTATATGTTTTGAAGTAAACAAACAAAATTCTGACCTAGTTTTTCATAAATTTTAAATTGTTTGAGATTAATGAGATTTATTTTACGCGCACTTAGTCATTAGCTCGGCTGCATTGTTTTTATAAGTACAATAATATACTGAAGGGAAATTTATATTATCTCTAAGTTTGACTGAGTGAGTAAATTTGATGGTTGGAATGATAAAGAGATACAGTTGTCAAAAATAATTTTCTTGGTTTAATAATTTCTCTTTTAAATTAAATTAATTTTTTAATCTGTGTAAAAACACAGAGTTATAATTTTTCCGAATTAAAATCTTAAATGGTAAAAATAAAATAAAATTTATTTTTTTTTTTTCACTATTTAAAAATAAAACCTAGTAAGTATACGGACTTGAATTATTTTCTTAAGAAACAAACGTCACCTTGAATTTTATAATCATTCTCTAATTCAAAAATCAGGGGCATACTTTCAAATGTCTTTGATAGAATTTTTGTCCTGTTAAATCACTGCTGTTATGAAAAATAATATCATGTTCTATGATTCATATGCTCCTCCTATTATACGTCGCCCAAAAGATAAATTACGAAAAAATAACTTTTATTTAAAAATTATAAACGTTTGTTCCTTCTACGGAATTTCGTAACAGTCGAGTATTTAAAACAGATAAGTTCTACTTATTACAAACTTTGTAGATAAATCAAATTGAAATTCGCTGAAAAAAAAAAATTAATTAAAATTGAATGATTGACAGCCTATCTGTTAAAAATAAAAAACAACCGCCGAGATAATAACATTTCTATCATACGTCAAATACTTCCGACACAAAAAAATGCATGACAAAAAATTTCTTTGTCGCGAATAATAAGCGATAAGAAAAAAAATTTTCATTTTTTCTTGCAGCTGGAAGCGTGATTACTCATCCGGAGGAAATAAAAGTGAAAACAAAAGAAATAACTAAAAAACATAAAACAAGTATGCAAAGAGGATACAGATAGAACACGAGGTCGTTATCACCAATTTTAAAAGCAAGTCGCATTAATATAAATTCATCATCAGTAAGATCTTTGACCGGCGGCCTCACTAATATAAGAATATATTTACATAATACGTTTTATTTTTTAAATTTAGATGAATAATTTAAATGATTTCTTCGGAAAGAGTATGAAATGAAGTAATTACCGGTTTAAGAATTGAAAATTTATTTAAACTTTTGTACAACTCCGGACTTTTAGAATTTTTTTTTTTTTTACACTTGATACATAATTTTCTTTCTCTTATTGTTTCGTTCCGCGTCTGAGAAATCTTTAGAGACCAAGAATAAGAATAAGAAGACAATGTCGAAGTTTGTCTAAAGCGTAGCAAAGTCAGACGTGCAAACAGATCTTTTAGTTTGGTTGTATTGCATTGTACATAGGAATCGACTGACGGGCAATGACCCGGCGAACTCGGTGCCCTGCACTCTAGTCAGTTAACTTCGTCATTCGATATTGCCACTGATGCAAAAATTAACGTTCATCTGAGCACCACAAGAGCAGACTGATAGATTAGATAGGAGATTGGAGATAGAAGATTCGAGGGATTTATCCGATCCCCGCAGTTGCAACAGGACGGAAAAAAATCACCCGGTCATAAAAAGGAGATAAAAAGGAGAACCCGAGGGACGCTATTTATCTTACATTGGTTCGTCTTTCTAAATTATTATTTTATCTCTGAAAGTTGGTTTATTTTTTAATCTTTCTAATTGTTTGATAAAAATTTTTTTTCATTTAATGAGTGTCGCGGAAACTGACGAGCCGAGTCCCGATATAATGAATACCAAATACCACAATCTCCCGAGACTGAACTCCTACATCCACATCCTACAACATCGGGGATAAATAAAACCAAATGAGGTCATAAGAACCGAGTAAGTAATCTTAGCAATCTCTATCCGCTAATGAGCTCTTTAAAAAAATAAACTCAAAAACCAACCAGTGAGTGTTGTATATAATTATATATATTTAATATTTCGCTGGAGTATGTTAAGAAAAAAACTACGCAAGCTTGCTTAAATTTTCTCAAAGAAGGGTTTAATTTTAATAAAACTTGAAAAATTATTAGAGTAAATGGGAGCAGGATAAATAAAAAAATTTATTTTTTATTTGTTGAAAAATTGTGGGCGCTAATTAAAATATTTTAAAAATTAAAATTAAAATTTTTTATTAACTTGACAGTGCTGAAAAATTAAATGAAAAGTAATTTCAAGTAATTTTGAATTTTTAATCCCAACGCTAATTAAAAATATAATTAAAATATTACAAGCTTTTTAATTAATATTTAATATATAAATTCAATTAAACAAAAATGCTGAATAAATGTTATCCTTAATAAGTATCTTTTTTTGTTCTGAATTGCAAGTAAAGTGTCTGGAGCAAAAAAAAAAAAAACGCTTCTGTTATTTATTACCGACTAGAACGTTTCATTTTATTTAACCGAGAATTAACGTTTGACGGACGAGTTGATTTTCCCACGGAGCATCGCTCACCGAACAACCGTAAACCCCATAAATAATTTATTACATATTTATCATTATTATTATTATTATTATTATTATTATTATTATTATTATTATTATTATATATCAACAATCCTGGATCCCAACCCGGAAAATCCATCAAATAAAGTCTGCAACTTATTTAAAAATTTTAAAAATAAAATCATCGATAATAAGTCTCGGTTACTGTGTCTCAACTCAATAGAGGCTTCAAACCGTTCAGTGTTCGGTTGTTGATGCTGGGTGCGTATTTATATAAATCACTTACTCGCCCGTGTATGTACTGCTCGGGGAGGTGTAAGTACACATAACGGTCCCGCGATTGCCTCCGGCATTAATGGTAAAGACATAATCAGCGGAGCCTCGAAAAAGTACACAACTAAACACGTTCAGTCAACTATAATTAGTAATTAACAATTCGGATCGATATTTAATTGAAATTAGTGATTTTTATTACTCATTATGAAACACGAAATGCACATAGAACACATGTCTGACGAAATAACAAATTGTAATTATTAATTGAAAGAGTGTGAAGTAAAAGTGAAACTAAACGTGAAATTGATTATTGAATTTCGCAGGTGTCGAAACGAATAGAGAAACATATATACATATCAGACGATGACTTCCTGACCCGTCGCCATTCCCCATTCTCAATTGACTATTAATTGCCAAGCCGTACGAGTTTGTAATAGCCAAAATGAATATTACCACCACCTACGAGAGTAACTAATCGCTCGATTAACTCCATTGCTCTTTCTCTTTTGAAACTAAAAACCAAAACCTTGGTACCAAATTACGTAAACTTTACACGCTCTTAAGGTAGGTGCTTAACTTTCGAACCTTTTTCTACTACAATTCTTTATTATTGTATATTACAATAAACATTTTTTAAGACATATATTATTTTAATATCCTTATAGAGCAAAAATTTATTGTAATAAATTTATGGCTTTAATTTGAATAGAAAAATTTTTAAACTAAAAAATTGTTCTTGGTTTAATTAAATTTGACTTAATTCAAGACAATAAAGCTTTTAAAAATTATTTTCTTGGTTCAATAATTTTTTTTTTTTTTTTCAATGTAAAACTAGATATTACATAAATTACATCCAGGAAGATTATGTTGCTTTTTTAGTAAGTATTACATGATTAACCGCAATGTTAATAATTACCGTATTGTCTGTTTACATTTCGATTGCGCTTCACAGTGAGTTGCGCTATATAGCCGCTCTATAAGGAGCAAGAAGACGAATAGTCATTCTATTCATTACTATTACTATTAAAATAAATAGAGGATTATGTAGAGGCCCAAGCCTTTATGGAGAAGGATAAAAATTAAAAGCACACTTACTACCTACTGCCTACTACCTGCAAAGAGTATGAGAGTCGATCTCAGGGCGGATTCCCACCAATCGCGCGGTCACGACTTGCAAGTTCAAGTAAAGTCTTACTCGCTAAACGGCTTCGCCTCGATACTGGTATCGGGTATGCACAAACACTCTCTTTCACTCATTTAATCTTCGAACATCGTCTCCTATCCGAGGCTTAACCTTTCCAAGATCTAAACT